ATTTAATAACTCTGTAGATGTGCTTAGGGACATGGCTTAATGATGGATTTGGTGGTGTTAGGGTAACAGTTGGAATGATCTTAAAGGTTTTTCCAACCTAAAAGATCCTGTGATTCTATGTTACGTTACTAAGAATAGTTTTGCAGTCACAAAAATGAAAGTTCTTAGTACATTCTAAGCATGTAGAACTTCTAAACAAACTCTCTTCTAGTGGAGAAAAGAAGTTAGTGTAACCATCCCTACCTGAATTGTTCTTCTTTACAATGGTTGTGTAACCATTCATAGAACTTCCTATCCTTTTTCATAAAGAGGTGGAAGTGTGTCTTCACACACACGTGCACACACACTCAACACACATATATTAAGTATAGGAAGTTTTGTGTATTTATTGCTAATGTTAGGTTTTTTTCATTATTACGTATAAGGGCTTTCTCTTATTTGCTTTTTCAGTTTGCATCTCAAGTTGTGTGCTCTTTTTTTCAGCACGCGCTGGATCTCCAGCTGGCAGTGGCCAATATCCTGCAATCTCTGGTACACACAGAGAGAAACCAGCAAGTCATGTGTGAAGCTGGGCTCCATGCACGGCTTCTACAAAGATGCAGCGCTGCTCTGGCTGATGAGGATCACTCGCTCCATCCGCCACTCCAAAGGATGTTTGAAAGGCTGGCCTCCCAGGCACTGCAGCCCATGGTGCTGAGGTCAGAAAGATTGTACTGCAGTCTAGTTGAGCTGAGCCCTGCTGGCTGACTGTAAACGGCTCAGATTGGTAGACAGCCTAAGTGACCTCGTGCGGTATCAATCGCACGGGATCCCATTTTATTTCACATCAAATAGACTATCTTGCTTTCTGGTAATCAGCATGTAACCCTGGAGATGTTGGGAATTGGAGAGTGGGGAGGAGGGAGGAGTGTGGAGCAAGGAAATCTCTTTGGTGTTTTTCACAGAGATTGTACTGAAGTTAAATATTTGCTTCCTTCCTGTGAATCTTGAGAGGATATAAAAAATGTCATTTCTGGCTAGGTCCTCAGGAAAAGGAAACATGATAGTTTTAAAAGCAGCACTGCCATAGAAGAGGACTTTTCTGTGCAATGTTAAATACCTGAGACTGGAAAAGCTTCAGGGCAGCAGATTTATTTAGCACTTTAGTTTGTGTGAAGGAAATGCAGGAACGCAATACAAGAGGTGTCTGGAAAAATCTGGGGATGCATAGCTTTAAAAAATTGATCCTTCTGCATATTAATGCAAGTAGGTTTGTACAGCTATGCTAGTACAAGAAAAGTAAGCTTGAAAAGTTTAGGAACATATTTTGAACCATTTGTTAAATACCCATGCAGTTGTATGGTACTTTGGATTGCTTGCTAGGTTCTGGGAGCCCTGGAGGCCTTTCAGTATAGAAAGGGGGGATTATAAGAACGATGGAGTGGAACTTTTTACCAGCGTGTGTAGTGACAGGACAAAGGGCAAGGGTTTTAAACTCAGAGTCTGGATTTAGATTGTATGCAAGTAAGACATTTTTATGATGAGGGTGGTGAGATGTTGGAAGAGGTTGCCCACAGAAGCTGTGGATGACCCATCATTGGAAGTATTCAAGATCAGGTTGGATGGAGCTTTGAGCAACCCAATATAGTGAAAGCTGTCCCAGCCCACAGCAGCGGGGTTCGACAAGATGATCTTTAAAGATTCCTTCCAACCCAAGCCATCCTGTGATCTCAGCTGGAATACAAATTCGTTGTGTTATCTCCTATGTATCACTGCCTGGCTGACCTGCAGCCAGGACATCTGGTCGGTTCATTTGAGTGGCAGGTAGCTGTGTCAGAAATGTTTCTGCAGGGAGCACGCTTGCTGGTAGTCTCATTGCAGGGACTTAAGTTTCCCTAAGCATAGGTACTTAGGGAAACTTAGCCTAAGCATAGGCTACATAGGTAGCCTAGGTAGTGGTAGACACAGAAGTTGATAGCTGTGAAACTATTCCCCAGCCAAATAGGCTGCATGGATAAAATAAAGCTGAGGTCACTTCCTTCAGCCTGTGGTCTGTCTTTCCAGGTGAGTTCAGCTTGCTGAATGTGCATCCATGAGCATCCTGATGTTCTTGTACAGGATGTGACAGTCTCCAGCCAAGTCTTTGGAATTAAGAGAAAGGAATTTGGAGCTCTATCAAAAGTGTTTGATTGGTTAAAAAAATGTAAACTTTTGAGAGCATGTGTACAGAATTAAATCATTTCAGCTGGATCAAATGTGTTTCTTGTAATTATACATTAGTTTGTTTATTTTCTTAGTTAAAGGTTATGTTTATTACAAGTAATTACTATATTAAGATTAGATTTGGTGCTATTCAAGGCAAATACATAGACAAAGTGATCTGCAAATTTTTTATTCTCTTTCTTAGGGAATTTTTACGCTTGGGAAATCCTTTGAATTGCGGAGCTTGGGACAAAAAGCTGTTGAAACAGTACCGGGTGCACAAACCCAGCTCGCTGAGTTTTGAACCGGAAATGAGAAGTAGGTGCTGAAGTACTAGAAATCTACATAAAGGAGGTTTTGCTGACATCCCCCAACTGACTGCTTATGTAAATTGTGTAGATGAGCATCCAGAAAATCCTAACTTTGTCCCTGTTTTGTATGAATGGGAAATCATCAAAACAGTGTGAATGGAAAAAGTTGTAGAAGCAGGGGGAATGTAGTAATTGGTATTTAATACATATTCAGTGTGGTAATTGTAAATATTTATTTTATGAAAAGTAACTTAAGTATTATAATAATTTGCTTTTAAGTCTTGAGTAGATACTGAGTTTGTAGTTACATAAGAGGAAAAGGAAAAATATTTTTCTCAGATAATTTCATGTGCACATCGTGTCATTCTGTAGTGTCTTATGGGTTCAGTAAGGTGTCAGATAAAATAACTGAAATTCCTACACTCAAGCATAATTCCACTTATTTCAGCTTGTCTCAGTAACCTGGGTCATCATTAGCATCACTAGTAATGAGACAGGAAATCGAAATAATTAAAACGGGGAAAAAAAAAGCACAGTTTACCAAATCTGGCAGAATCTCAATCTAATAATCACTTCTCTTATAAAGAGGTAGAATTTGGAGTTGGAACACTCACTCTTAATTACTTTAAGTTCAGCCCTCCCTGTCTAAACATTAACTTTTCAAAGTAAATATTTACAATGGTTTTACTCATTGCTTTTTTTCAATGTTTAATTTCCTAGTATATTAAAATTGAATCTTTAATAGTATGTGGTCAGGAGATGTTGAATTATGTGTGCATAGTAATTTAAAAATTTTCAAGAAAAAGCACAGACTTAGATAAGCTTTAAAAGAAGAAGGGGTGGGGGAGACATCACAACTCAGCCTTGGTTTTAGTCCTGATATTAACACAGGAGGAAGGTATTCACAATGTTATTTTGATAAGATATTCACTAGATATTTCTAGATTAGATACACATACTTACACCTGTCCATTGGAAATTTTCATTATTCCTTTGTGTGGTATCTTGTCATGGAAGTTCAGCTATCTGATAGAATACTTCATAAAGCAATTACACATTGGCTCTGATTATCACACTGGAAAGTTACATCTGTTTTCCAGTCCATTAATGGCACTGAATGTCTTTAACTGATGAATTCCTCAGACTGATCTGACCTTCTCTTCTACATTCATGCTTTCTGGTTGTTATCCATGAGTTTTAGAGCTTGGGAATAGCTGTTCATGTAGTACAAGAGAGTCTCAGTGAATGGTAATAGAAAGATATTATTGATAAGTTTCCAAAGCATGTGATATATATTTCTAGGTGTCAACTCAGTCGTTGTATGGCCAGCAGTAACACAGTTAAAAATACTTTAGTTTAAACATTTAAATTATTTAAAAGGAACTAGAAAATATCCTGGATAATACTGTATTACAAGTGTTAAATAATAACTAACTAGAATAGCAGAATTCATGTTAGGTCGTCAGGGTCAGTACATTCAAAAAGAGGAGGAAAGGAGAGATTCAACTTACCTCTCGGCCAGCACTTTTTTATTTTTAATAGGTTATTATCATGGGGGAAGGTGAACAATGAAAATTGTGAAAATGTGAGTTTGAAAAGGTTGTAACCCAGGAAAGAGAAGGCAAGGCTAGTTTCCTGAATACTGCAAGTTATCATGTTACATTTTCTAAGCTAAAGTTACTGAACCTTTCTGCTTAGTGAGAGATCTGAGATTTTAGCTCAGAGCTACTGCATCTGAAAAACATGAAGCACAATTTTTCCTGCCTGTTAAGTCAGGGAGCAGAAGCTTCTGCGAAAGGGACGCTTTCCCGATGCTATGTAATGAGATGGCCTCTTGGCTCAATATTTTAACTTTACCATGGACTTTCTGTAATACCTGGAGCAAATGTTCATCTCTACCTCAGTAGAACGTTTTTATGACGACAGCAATACTTCTCAGCTCATAATCTTCTGAGAGGCTGAAATAGTTGACGATGATTGACAATTCAGCTATTGCGTTGGAAGCAGTATTTGAAAAGTCCAAATAAATAGCCTGAAAATGCCTCTCTTTTGCAATACTGTGTTGTTTCTTGGCTTCTACCTTAGATAGCATGGTTACCTCAATGGACGGTCTGGGTTCTGACAGCGTCTTCGGTTTGCATGAAGACAGTCACTATCGGATAAGCAAGAGCCTGCTCAAGCCAGCAGAAGGGAGCACAGTACCCCTGACGAGAGTGAAGTGTTTGGTCTCCATGACAACCCCACATGATATCAGGCTTCACGGATCATCAGTTACACCAGCATTCATTGAGTTTGACACGTCTCTTGAAGGGTTTGGGTAAGGTCCTGTAGTGCTCTCAAATAACATGGGGCACCAGTGCAGTGTTCTCATACTTTCTTTTTCAAAGAAGTGCTTGTAATTTTTAATGGACTATTTGCAAACCAGAAACAAATGAATTCTTCAACAAAAAGAAAGGAATACTTTAAGCCACATAAGTTTCCACTTTGTCATTAATTTAATGCCTTGAAACCAAATGCTTGCTTGCTATTTGTGAAGTAGAAATGTGTCTAAACATTGATAGTATCCTCTCAGTTTGTGATTTCACATGCCTTTTAAAACAACAGAAGGCCAACATACCCTTGCAGAAACTCAGTTGCTAGGATTTGTGTGTGACATTTGGGTGGCCCAAGTGCTCTGCAGCCCATTTAAGATAGCTGAAGAACTTGGAAATGCGAAAGTGGGCAAATCAGAAATACAAGTAAAGCAGAGAAGGCAGCTATTTTGAGTCCACATAACTGGAAAACACTGATTAAATTGAGGTGTAGCCTGAATATAATGCTTAACTCATTTCTTTAACAGCCAGTATCGCCTTCTCATGGTTTTTTCTCTCTCTCATTAAATACCTGCTGAGTGAGGCACTTTGAGAATCATGGAATATGATTTAACTTGACTGTTTGGAAGATGAAAACATGACACTGTTCTCAGCATCTGTTTAAGGAAAACAGTTTGTCTTTTTGGATTAAAAAATGGAACAGTAAAACCTCAAAACACTCATTTTGTTCTGTTCTAAGGGCTAAATATATCAAAAAAATTCAGACCAATAGTATAAGGAACAGGTATTCCTTAACTGCCTGCGTCCATAGGTGGAGGCTCGCAAATAGGCTGAAAAACCAGTATCTCAGAGAGGACAGTGTTGTGGGGTATGTGCAAATCAGACAATTGTGAATGAAAAACTACTTAACATTCAAGGTGCCAGAATTTCACAGAAGCTTGGTTAAAAGCTTTAAAACCCTTTTAATAAAGCTTCCAGTAAAGGTTTTTATGACATGAACCACCAAAACTGACAACTGCTCTGAAGCCTATTGTGTGACAAATTCTTGTATGAGATAAGTAGCTCCTCAATGGTTTTTTTCAGTCTCTTTTTCAAAAGAATTGTGAGCAGATGTGGAAATGATCTGTTGTCCACAGCTGTACCGCAATTTCATAAATCCATAAATAGCTCCACCTGACAGAATCACTTACTTTCTTTTTCTTTCCAGATCTACTATTTACACTACTGAGTTTCTTAAATCTATTTCTGTTCTGTTGTGGCCTTTGACAGAGCCACTTGCATCTTGGTGCACTTGTTCTGTTTGATTTGGGATGAGTGGTCTGAGAACAGAGTCCGTCCTGGATATTTGAGAGCTCTGCTGCTCTGCATTTTTTTCAGCTTTGCGAAGTAAAGATGCAGTGCCTGTTTGGCATCTAGCCTTCATATCCAATATACTCAGGGACAGATTTTATTTGAAAACAAATGGTGCTTGAAGCTCCGTTCTACATCCTTCATAAGAGAAAAGAAAATATTTTGGACCTAAGAAGAACTTGAAGTAGGCTAACAGAATTAATTGCCACTGTGTTTTCTCCAGATTTGTAGGTGCTGTGACTTGTCCTAAAGTAATCCACATAATGAAGCTGTGATTTCTTGTAATTTCAACAAGTCACCTAAGAAGGCTGCTATAATCAATAATAATAATTAAAAAAAAATCTAAAAACTTCTGGCCTATTTTCAAGTGCCAGGGTGTTGCATGAATTCAAGAGTTGGTAGACCCTTGTAAGTTACCTGTTTAGAAAGAACATGCTTGTAACACCATTGGCCATGGGTGATCCACCCAGAGAAGAATATTTTCAGGAGGGAGGAGAAAGTGCATAATGAGAACTGTAATCAAAAGGAAGATGATAGAAGTTCACAGTTCTGGTCACTGTTGCTTTCAAGACGGGTAGTCAAGGTAACTCTTTATAGCTTGCATGAGACCAAGATAATTCCTACCTCTGTCAGGCAGCTGAGCTACAGTATACTTAAACTAGCCTGCTCAAGTGTCAGTGTCAACAAAACGATGCTTCTTCAGCAAGTGGAAGAGCTGTCATTTTGCCTCCAGTAGGACAGTCTATACAAACTGGAAGATGAACTCCTGTGGGGAGGCTGGTCACTGAAAACATCTGGGCTCTTAAAATCTTCTAGTAGGAGGCACTCCTTATATCTGTTTCCGTTGTGTCCACAGCATCGATGGCCCTTGTAAGGCCCAAACATAGCTAATTTGGTGAAATATGACATTACTGTGAGCATGTATACGCTTAAAATCAGAACACCATAGTATGCAATTACCATGCTCTTTGAATATTTAGCTATTCCAGTCGCTTTGAGAGTTCAGAACATCTCAAAGGCTGCAGCGCATTATGATTGCCCACAAGGGAGCATCTTGTGCTATGGAGCTATGTGGGCATGTCTCTGTGCCTTCGCACCAAAGATATATGCTGCCAGAGCTCTTTGAACTGGAGGTAATTTAGCCTCACAAAGAGAAATCTTGACAATTCTAGTTTTCATGAGTATGTGCACTTAAGGTGAGTGATTGTTTGCTTATGATGTATTTTCCTAGGCTATGTCTTGTTTGTACTGAACTCCAGTTATACTGACTTTCTTAAACTTTAGTGTGTTACTGGTCTTCTGTCTGACAGCTGCCTGTTCTTGCCAAGCTTGGCTCCCCATAACGCACCTACAAATAATGCTGTTACAACAGGACTTATTGACGGTGCGGTTGTCAGTGGAATTGGAACGGGTAAGTACTCAGGTGTGACTGTCAGCAATGGTTTGTATCTGATGTTTAGTTCTCTTATGTTTCTTTGTTAGCCATGAAGTGATAGTATGGTGTTGCCTCTTGTACGCTCCTTGTGGGGTTTTTGTGTGTGTTTTCCTGTTGGGTTTTGCCCCCAAGGCAAAGAAAAGCAATATAAAATACAAATGTGTGATTGCTTTACAACACAAGGCTTTCAGCAGAAGGTTAAACTGTAGCCAAGAGAAGCATATGAATAATGAACCTGGATACATTAAGAACAGGTTGAGGTAGTAGTGTGAAGAGCATAGGGAACATGGAATGAATTGTAATGCTGTAGTTGTGGCTTTGTTCTGCTGAATTCTTGACTGAATTTGTTACAGCTGTAGTTACATCATCACAAAAACCCCATCTAAATTGTTTGCTATCCCTTATACTTGTTCACTGTAGGCTGTTCAACCTACAGAAACGTGGTGTGCTGCAGGGCTAATTGAACATGACCACTTACTTGTCAGACTTAACACCTTTTTTAACTAAGTCGAGGGTCAACCTACAGAAATGTGGTGTGCTGCAGGGCTAATTGAACATGACCACTTACTTGTCAGACTTAACACCTTTTTTAACTAAGTTGAGGGTTTACTGCAGTAAGATGGAATTAGTGTTAGACAGTACTTGAAGTCTGTGAGCATTTTGTTCGGTGGGAGCACCCCAGGAGATGAAATGGAGTCAGGCGTAGGTGGTAAAGAGATCTTCAACAACGGCTTCTTCAGTGAGTCACACATATGGACGAAGCATCTTACTGTGATAACAGTTTCTGAGGGCCTGATCCATTTCTACTTATTTTTTTGTCTAGGGAACTGAAATGGGGTTGTTCTGAACAAACACAGCTTCACAATTGATTTTTTGCTTTAGAATAGGAGGGAATATAGCATGCAATTCTTGCTTTATGTTATTTTGAAAGAAATCCCTTTGAGCTAGCTTTGTGTGGCTTTTCCTCCACACTCGAGTCAGACATGAAAGTAGTGACATTGAAATCCATGAAGGAAGAGTTTTGAGAAAGCACAGCTGATATCAACTGAGCTGATGTGAAAAAAGGAACAGGAACAAGTAGGTATCCTAAGTACCAGCTACTGCAGCTATATAATGGCTTTTCATTTTTGCTTTTAGGTGAAAGATTTTTCCCACCACCATCTGGTTTAAGCTACTCAACTTGGTTTTGTATTGAACATTTTAATACACCTCCTAATAACCATCCAGTGAGACTTCTTACTGTAGTGCGGCGTGCAAACTCCTCGGAGCAGCACTATGTATGCCTTGCCATTGTCCTCTCGGCAAAAGACCGGTCACTGATTGTTTCAACTAAAGAAGAATTGCTTCAAAATTATGGTAAGAGTTGTGTCATGTCATCAGCTAATCCTGATGATATTTTGGGGATGCAACAGCAAGTTTATTTTGAACCTAGTATCTAGAAGAATTGTGTGTGATGGAACTTTAGTTGTAGATTCACCAGCTCCTAATGGGTTTTGATAGTGGAAAAATACGAAGTGTAAACATTCATACATAAATTAAGGAGCTTTTATAATTTCAAAAAAAGATTTGATATCTGCATATTAAAAAAAATAAAATTGCCAAACCCCTAAGTAGTATAGGTTTGAAGGAAGGATTATGTGACTGGTTTTGGGAAGATTTTTGCCTTTTGTTTATCTTGAATCATTCGCTTTAGACATCATCTCTTCAGGTGCAAATGTTGACTGTCTGTACTTCAAAGTTTTGAAATAGTAAACTAACAGGTTGTGAAGGCATTTTCAACCTGCATGATCCCAACAATGGAAGGCTGTGTGAAAGCCATCAGTCATTCTCTTCATGTTTTAATGCTATGGTCAGTTTTCAGAAAGAGTTTGTAGCTTCTTTCAGCTTCATTTTGTGATCAAAGGTGGAGTTATAGGAGGTGCTGTGAAGATCAAAGTGAAGCTTCTGAGGCCAGTGAACTTGGTAGAAAGTGCTAATGGTATGGTTGGGGGTTTCAGGCTTAGTCATCTCCCATCTCCTGCCTGGTCCTTCATCAGAGCCTTCAAAAATGGTCAGTTTTGACAGGCTTTTTATGCACCACAGCTGTGGAGGAGCTGAGAGGAGCAGGGCAGCTTCTGCATATGTTTTAGGCTTAGCTCTTTACCCAGACCAACACACTGGATTACAAGTGGTTGTCAAAAATCTGTTCCTGCCTTCTGTTCTTTCCTTTTGAATAGCAGGCACTAATAAAGAATTTATACAACTGTTATTATTAAAAAAATAAACAAAAAAGCACTGAAACAGCAAAGCAGGCTGTTGCAGAATATTCTTTATTTTCACAATAAGCAGACATTTGCATCATTAACTGCAGTAGTTTCTCTTAGTAGAAATTAGGTTCAAAACCTAAAACTTCTGAGCTGAAGGCCCACGGTATAAGGGAGAAACTAAACCTCTTAAATTACAAAGATATTGACAGTGTTTTTCTCAGAAGATCAAATTCTTAAATAAATTTATCTTCATAGGAATTGCTTTAGCCTGCACGGGAGCTATAGATGGTATGTTTTTAGTTTGTAAACCCCTACTATCTAACTCTTTTAAAAAGATTGGATTTGAAGAGGCTTTTTCAGACAAGATCTGAAGGCCTCTGCCTACAAAGACTGTTTTTTAATTGAACGGGGTACTTGGCTTTACTGGAGTGCCACCCTGTTGTGGCCTGCTGAGCTGGGAAGTACCTGTAGCACTGAGATGGCAGGCCTGCCAGCCTGGGGACCCAAGTGCTGATGGTCTATTGTAAGGATGAATGGGCTGGTTTAAGGATCTTTCTTGTGACCAAGGATTGTGCTCCAAGGTGTTTGGCTGAGAAAAAGAACTTGAGATAAATTTTTTATCTGAGAGTTAGTTTAAAGTACTCTGCTTTTATCATTTTCTTTGTGGTATTTCTAAAGAAATGAGTGTTCCCTCTGTGCAGGTGGCTGTTGAGGTAAGAGGATCAGAGGTTTCTGTTCCTAAGAATGAAGAGAGCTCTGAAAAGCTGCTGTTTTCTGTTAAAGCATTCCCTGCTGGAGAATTTCAGAGCTTTGTCTTTTTTTTTTTTTTTTTTTTTTGGAAGGGTGCTGGGTGGGGGGGGCAGCTTTGAAGTAGAATGTGGGTCCACCTGCAAATCCACCTGCAAATTGATCATGCCCTCTGGTATGAAGTCTGAGGATGCCTTTTTGAGACATTAAAAAACTATGTTCTGAGAATTAAAGTGCATTTCAACATTCAGAAAAAGATAATTCAGTACCCATTCATGAAGAAAGACCTGGGAAATGCTTGAAGATCATCAGTTGGTGGACTGGGGATGGGTAGTCAGCAGCTTTTGGTTTGTAGCCCCTGTGGAGAGGCTGGGAGTGGGTTCCTCTGGCTGTGTGTCTGGAAAGCAGGCTCTGTCTGACTCTTGTCACTGTTGGTGTGCGGGTAGCCAATGGAGCTGCAGGTGAGGCTCCCTAACCCCACAGCAGCTGCTGCTCTTGTTAGGTCAGTGGCCTTACAGCCCAGTCTCTACTGCTGATACAGTGAAGGGAAGGCAAGGGTGATGCTGCGGTTAGAGTACTGAGATGGAATGGATGAGACGTTGTGGAGTCTTTGACTTCAGCAGAAGTGTCTCAGCCCTCAGCCACCCCTTCAGTTAGCAGCGTTTCAGAAAATTAATTTTTCTTAGAACTGCAAAAAGGGAAGAAGAGAAGCCATCGTGCTGAGGCTTGAGTTACGAGTACCCCCTGGTCTGTGCTTGATGTGTGTCTGGCTAGCCAGATGTTGTATGTGCAGCTTTTATTTTAAAAGTCTCGGGCTTTCACCCTGATCTTTAACTTCACTTATACTTTGTTTAGCCTAATTCTAACACAGGTGCTTTGAAAGGCAATCCTTTTACTTATTTCTTCTTTTGTGTGTGCCCTAATTGCTTAAGCAAGGTAGTTGCAAGCTTATACAGTGTCTCTGACCAAGTGCTGAGAGGCAAGGAGGCGCTTCTGTGGGAAGAGGCTGGGGCTATCCTGTGCTAGACATGGCCAGCTGCACAGCAGGCCTCCTGCAGAGCACTGCTGAGCCCTGCAGCCAGGCTCTGGGAGAACACATGTAAGAGAGGGCGAGGTGGTGCGTGGAGCTACGAGTAATGGGGAAAAAAAGATGTGAGAGAAAGCATTCTGAGGACATGAAGGTGAGAGCAGAAGGAGGGGATGCTCCAAGCATTGGAGCAGAGATGCCTTGTGGCCCCTGGAGAGGATCACACCAGAGCAGGTAGTGAGGCCTATGGAGGAGACCACAGTGGAGCAGGAAGGGGTGTGAGGAGAAAGTCGGAGAAGTATGGATATCTTCCTCTCCGTAGTATGAGAATAGTGAAAAACAGCTCTGTAGGTTTGGAGAGACCTCCGTTATTTCTTGAGGACTTCTGCTGTAAACTTTTTTAGAAAAATAACAAAAAAATCTGTGACCTGTGTAATGGCATGAGAAAATTAGTAAAACTTGAGCAAACTAGTCGTTCCAACTAAAATGTAAAAGGATGGGTAGAAGGGGAAAAGTAACATGGACTTGTGAAAAGTCTAAAAGTATCCTGAGAATTTTCTTAGGGAAGAATTAAGGCGAAGGAAGAGGACACCCGTGTTGATACTCCCAAAACCATACTGGCTTGTTAGTGTGCAAGTATCTAAGGACATTCAGCCTGTCAGATTGTGACAAATTGATCTGAATACTTTCTCCAAAATTCTGATTCTGTTCCTTTAGTTCTTTCTATTTGAAGGTCTAAAGTCAGATCTTATTAATCATATCACAGTCATACCTTGTTCATTTCATTTTTGGTCACATTGTTAACTACTTGTTTTCAAAAATTTGGCTTTAATGTATTGCTGTAGTTTGTTTTGCGTAAAGTCTTATGATGTAAGAAGCTTGAAACAGACAAATAACGTTTCTTCTGGTGCTCTTTCACTTCAGTGAGGAATCGTCATTTTATGAAATTCTTCCTTGTTGTGCCCGTTTTCGCTGTGGTGACCTCATTGTGGAAGGCCAGTGGCATCACTTAGTTCTGGTCATGAGTAAAGGCATGCTCAAGAACAGCACAGCTGCACTCTACCTTGATGGACAGCTTGTTAATACTGTTAAGGTAAAATAAATCTTTAAATCCTCTTTTTTTACTGATTGGAGTGACTTCTCTTTCTCTCTCTGCATATATGTGTAAAAAGCCACGCAGAATGAGCAACAACAATAACAAAAACACCACCACAAAACCCCAAACCAAAACTAAAAAACAAACCCAGAATGAGGAGCCTTGCAAAAATGGGTCTTTGCTTGCTACACAGCTCAGACCCAGCCCTAATCCTGTTAAGAAGATAATGAATACTTTCTCAGGCATGAGTGATAGTAATGCTAAAGTGAAGTGACATGTTGCACTGAATATGAAGCAAGTGTGGCGCAGCTATGCTGCTGAGTAGTTTAATTGGAAGGATGCTAAAATGCTGAAGATGACTTAGCCCAGGACCATGTAGCAGGTCGAACTTTGAATAATAGGGAGATTACAGAGTAAGACAGCTTTGCCCATTTAGCTGTGGTTTTCCTTTTTCAACTCTCTTGCCACCCCAGAAATAGCATCCCCTTGTCAATGATAGCCACTGAGGTGTCCAGTGTTGTTATTAGTTGATTGTAGATGAAACACATTTAGTTGTACAGGTCAATATTGTGTTGTTAGGTGGAAGAAGCTAGGAGGCCGAAAGCAAAGAGCTGTGAAGAGCATGTGGAGCTGTTCAATGAGCACACAGTATTCCTGACCTGTAACTGATAATCAAAGAGCATTTGGCATGTGGGCCTTAAGGGAGTAAACTGAACCTTCTGTGGGGTGTAAATTAGCTAGTATTACTGTACTGCTACAGGTTAAACAATATTCTGACTTTCAAAGTTTACCTTTCAGTATTCCTTTTGCAGAAAGAGGACTATAGTAACTTTAATTGTTATGCTAATAGCTGTAATACATGAGTGTATCTGGCCATACGCAATTATGTTCAGTAGCTGGTAACAGAATTTTTACAAGGTAGGTAGAAAATGCCTGTGAGGTTGTTACTGCCATTATATATAGGCCAGCATCTTCTCTGTGTATTTGTTTTATTGCTATCTGAAAATCTTATCAAGTTCATCGTGTTTGCACTTTAGCTCAAAACAGTGTAATTACCAAATGCATGTTTTCACCGGCTGAAAAAGGAGAAAGAACACAAGGTTATGAGATCATCTTACTGCTTTTGCAAAAAAAAAAAAAAAAGACCATCTTAAAGCACCGTGTTTTTAGAAGCAAGATACACCCTTGTTCTTCAGCATTTTTAAGCACAGAACTCGCATGTTCTCATCCTGTATTCCAATACACACCTTTATCTTTTGAAAGCCATTTAATTCTGATCTTTGCATTTATCTTCTGGTTAATGTTCTTTGCTGACTTTGCTGTAAGGTATCAGAATACCATGTATTACATGTCAGTCATTTGATATATCCCCTGGTTTGCAAATCACTTTCCCATATTTCTGACCTGCCTACTTTCTTTCCATGGTATCCATGCTCTCTCAATAACTTCACCATGTTTTTCTCACTTACAGCTTCACTACATTCACAGCAGCCCTAGTGGGTCTGGCTCTGCCAATCCACCTGTAGTCAGCACTGTCTATGCCTATATTGGCACACCACCTGCACAGCGCCAGCTCTCTTCGTTAGTGTGGCGTTTGGGCCCTACACATTTCCTGGAGGAAGTTTTGCCTGCCCCAGGTGTTAGCACCATTTATGAGCTGGGACCAAATTATGTCGGAAGCTTTCAAGCAGTATACGTACCATGTAAGTACAATTCACGTGGCAGCTAGGAACTTGGCCTGCATGTAGTGGAATCTTTCGTGTGCATATTGGCAGTAGAGGTGAGAAAGGAGAGTATGTGGTAGCAGACAGGAAGAGCTAGCTGTTCATAGGAAGAAGATTAGTAGCTGCTATTGAGGAGGATGATAGGAATCCAAATTACTGTTTTAACATACTTCTGGTAGTTCTTATACTGAGATATGGTAGAAGTGCTGTTATATATATTCCTCACTTTGGTTTTAAATCAGTTAGAAATGCTTGAAGCTGTCATTATTCATACTGTATATTATAGTTATCTGTAAAAAATGAAATTGCAAAGGCATTTTAACTTGTCAGTTTCTAGTGATAGCAGTCATTTGCAAATCTGCAATGTATTCTGTACTTTAAACACAGCTGTCTTGAAATTTCTTTGTTTATAGGGCTTAAATACATCAACTGAGGGGGAAAAAATCAAACAGGGAGGGATTGTGGTGCTGCAGATAGTCTTTAAGCATTTGTTGGGAACAAGTATGGGCAATTGTGTTATATTTTTTAAGTGTTCTTGTTTGAAATTGAGAGGAGTATGACACAAAGATGTGAATAACTTTGTTAGAAATGTGTCTCTCTAGCCCTGTTTTTAACCATTCAGGCAAGAGACTTTTCAGTAGATCTGGTGGTCACTTTGTGACCTGGAATGAAGATGCAGAAATAAATCCCTGCGATGAGCTTTCACATGCTAAGTTTTCACACTTCCTCTGAGTGTTGTAGACAGCTGTCACTCACAGTGTTTACAGTGCCTCACAAGAAGCATCTGCTTTGAGAGCAGTGGATACAAAGTAGTGAAGATACAGTTATATGTTCTCTTTGATGCCTGGGCCTTTTGGTCTTTATTCAGTCTTGCATCTCCTGTAATAGTCTCTAAGGTGGTTTTCCTAGCAAACCGTTGTAAAAGGCCTGTTGTCACAGGCAAAGATTCAGATGTACCAAATACTTCTCTGGTTCTTGATTACTTTGTGTTTCTTTAGTTGGGAAGGGAAGGGAATAGCCCTTAGGCTGTATGCAAATTGAGTGCAGGAGTTATGTTCCCTTCCAAAAATTCAGAAGCAGCAGCACCACATCCTCTATTGTTTGTCCATGGCATGGGCTGCCAGTTGCCTTTACGGGTTAACATTGTAGGCCTTTCTGAAAGGAAATGTTTGCTGTTCCATTGCCCTTTCATCTTAAACAGCAGATTTATTCTATAGCTCGTGTGCTATCAAGCTACTCTTTGGTACACTGAGCAAGTATGCAAAGACAATATCAAATCTCACCTATTTGTAAAACGTATCTTCTATACCTATTCTGCAATATAATTTGCTTAAGATTTTACTCTTAAAACTGTAAAGAAAAACAACACTGTTACTGAAATAAACTTTTTTTGTCTTCTAGGCAGAGATTCAAAGTCTGAAGGAATCAACCCATCTCCAGTATCTTTGGTACCAGAAGAGAAGGTCTCTTTCGGTCTTTATGCGCTCTCAGTTTCTTCATTTACAGTGGCAAAAATAAGGAAAGTTTACAACAAGTTGGATAGCAAAGCTATTGCCAAACAGGTATGCTGGGAAATGAGTTGGTCGGTGTGTAGTACTTGTTTGCTCCTTTCTTTTAACTTCTTTCAAGGCAATTTGCTCAGTGCAGCCAGGAACAATAAAGTACTTGTGAGAAGAGCTGCCCATAATCACTATCATATTTTTAAAATATTGAGGGAATTTATACTCCTAGATTTTGTGTTCTTGAAATTTCTACTAGCTATGTGTCTTAGCACTTTTTGAAGGTATTTTAGCTTACTAATGTACATGGCAATTGTAATCCTGTTGAAAAACTTATATTGTTGAACAACATTTCTACTGCTGCAGATGAACAGAGCTGATGGCTTAGTTCTCTGACTGTTGTTCCGACTTGGAAACAAGAATATAGGTTTACATTTTTCTTCAAAGTACATTAAAAGTAATGGGATTATTTGTACAAAGGGCCACTTATGAAGAAAAGCTGGGAATAGGATGGGGATTGGACTAGATGATCTTTAAAGATACCTTGCAACCCAAACCACCGTATGATTTGGTGGGATTATTTTTAAAATTAGATTAAATTTTTCTTCCTTAAACTTCGGAGACTAGAGATTTCTTTTTACTTTAGAGAATGTCCTAAAGACTATAACATAGTTCTCTTCTGTTATATGTTACTGACTGCTTATTGCAGGAGGAAAATACACAAGTTATGTTCAGGCTTGCATTAAAAAAACCCTTTCTCCCCTTTAGCCTTGGCTTTTTTTTTTCTTGTTTTGTTCAGCTGGCAATTTCTTCTCATGAAAATGCCACACCTGTGAAGCTGCTACATAACTCAGCAGGGCATTTGAATGGACCAGCGCGCTCCATTGGTGCAGCGTTAATAGGATATTTGGGTGAGTACTTGGGAATTACTGTGTTTAAACATGATCCATTACTTGTCAATAAGAACTTTGGTCTGTAGGCTAAGTCATGTAATTGATGAATGTTAATAGTACATTGTTAAATTTATTTAATACTTTTATATTTTATGGACATCCATATTTTTCTTTTTTATTCACATGGGATGCTTGTTTCAGTTTATATGAGTTATCATGAAAATATAGGTAATTAATTTACCTTGGGTCATAAACTTTTTTCTAGTGCTACATTTCTTTCATCTCTTCTGAGGTGTCATAGTTCTTCTACTGATGTTCTTTACATAATTCAAGCAATGGTAGAATGCAAATGACTTGCATGTGTTCACAATGACTTTCTATAAGAATTAGATTTAATTTGATTTTAATTCATTTCTTTTCCTGTACTCAGGAGTAAGAACATTTGTCCCCAAGCCTGTTGCCACTACGCTGCAGTACATTGGTGGAGCTGCTGCTATTTTGGGACTTGTAGCCATGGCATCAGATGTAGAAGGGTTGTATGCAGCTGTGAAGGCCTTGGTCTGTGTAGTAAAGAGCAATCCCCTAGCCAGCAAAGAAATGGAAAGAATCAGAGGTTATCAGGTATGTAAGAAATGTCTTAAAACAGACCAGGCTGATTGAATTTCACTGTCCTAGCAGTTCCCATGGCAACCACTTGTTGTCTTCTGGTAACCTGAGTTTCTGCTCTTAAGTTTACTGAGCTGTTGGCCTATTAGCATAAGTAAGTTATTTAGAATGGCTTTTAAAGCAGAGGGTGGGAAGTTTTGCGAAGCGGTTGTGCATGTTTAAATGTTTTGCTGAAACTGACCCCTCATTAATAGCAAGAAAGAGCACAGCTATGGCACTTGCATGATTCTTTTCCCTTGATGGTGAACCCACCACTTCTGTCTCCATGATCTGCCAGCAGGATAGGATAATAGGGACGCATGAAGACAACCGAACAAGTGGACTCCTGAAATAGTCATTCTGAGGAGACTGCACAGACTTTATAGTATAGTCACATCAAAACATGTTATTCCATGTAGCCTGTTGCAGACCTTGTCTTACCTTCACCAGACAAATCTAGAGTGTCGTCCTTGCACCTTAAGCAGTCAGTGGATCGTCACATATGACCTTACATTCCACATGTTTTGACCTCAGGAAATAGCATGGTTTGAGAGGATTCCCAGGAATGTGTATTTCTTTAGTAGTGTTTCAAGAAGCATGGTGAAGCTGATCAGGCCAGTATGTTGAGAACTTAATTAAGTTTGCATCAGAAGACAAGAAATAGCAATAGTGTATTTGGCAATTTGTTCTTTCCCAACCCGGATTATAAGAAGTTAGAGCAGAAATGAGGACTGAAAGGACATCTACAGTCATGCCTAGGGCAACAAAGGGTTGCAAGAAAAAAGAAAGTCAGGCTTATTCAAATTTATGTTGTCGTGACTACTTTTCTTCGGTGCCAGAATGCCTCTCATTTGTGCAGGCAGTACTCTTGAGGTGCTCTGTTGTAAGTCTGCTGTGTCCACGGTTGTTGTCCAGGTTCACAACTATCTAAGAATGTATCATGTACTGTCTTAAACTGGGACTGACTACCAGAGAGCTGAAAGGTGTGTCTGCATGTGCATAATCCTCAGGGTCTGCAGTGTAGAACACGTTTTATGAGCTGGATGTGCCCCTTTTCTAATCAAGTGTAATGCCACTTTCAAGCTTTTCATCAGGAGTATCAACTATCAGGCGGAATTTGAGGGCCTTCTCAACAGGGATGTTTCATCCATGTTTCTCTGTGCGTAGACAACATAGCTGTGTGTTCATAGGCTACTAATTCCTTCTCTGTTTACTTGTTCAAGTTGCTGGCAATGCTGTTGAAGAAGAAGCGGTCCCTTCTGAACAGCCACATACTCCATCTAACCTTTTCCTTGGTGGGAACTGTCGATAGCGGGCACGAGACCTCCATTATTCCAAATTCTGCTGCCTTCCAGGATCTACTCTGTGATTTTGAAGTAAGTAAAGCTGCACAGGAAAGTGATGATACTGGTTGGTGATTAAGTCAGGTGCTGATAGCATACCTTAAATACTGAACAACAGCAAACTAGGTTGTTATCCTGAGAACTTACTATTTTGTGTATAGTACAGTAAAGCAGTGGAGCAGCAAGATTATTTGTAAATTTTCCTGCTGATAGAAACAGTGCTTGGGTACCACAGACGTTTCTTAAGAGGTAAACTTTAAACACAGTATAAGCCTCCTTCAAAGTTAATTGTAAGGTAGTTCTGCTTGCCTGAACTATGAAGGGTTTAAGTCTTGTGTTAAACTAAGGAAAGTCGAAAAGGAAAGTTTAGAAGGAAATGCTAATGTAATAGAGGCTGATAAAACAGTGTTACACAATGCGTAGAACTCGTTGTTCAGTGTTTGCTTCTTTGGCATTATCTGTACCCGGCACAGACTGAGTAAAAGTGTGTTGATTCGCATATACTAAAATAAATAAATGTACTACTGTTGCTACTAATCCAGTTATAAGTTAATGACTTAATAGTGCAACTCTGTTGTGCACAAATGGCTCTATGGAGTTTCCCATTACCTTTTTTTAGGTGTCTCAGGATTTCAGAGTACTCATGGAAACTTTATTTATGGGTCTTGTCAGTGGAGAAGAAAAAACCCTGCTGCTTACTGTAGCCTTTATTTTAATGAAATCAACTGGCTTTGTTAACTTTGGTTTTTGAGATCTTAAAGGTCTTCAGTGCACTCAACTATGCCCCCTGGCCAAGATCAACAAATATGCTATTATTATGGCACACAATAAAAGAGAGGTAATGAAAAGGGCCAACCTGAGCTTTTTTTTTTTTTTTTTTTAACCTTAGTGTGGATGTAATATAGAGGAAATTTGTCACCCACCGGAGTTTCCTTTTTTTTGGTCTAATATTACAACTAGAAATAAGTTTTTGCCATATTTAAACAGAAATTATTCAGTATCATGTAAACAGTTATTCTTTAACAAACCTTTTAAATTACAAGAATGCTTCCTTTCACTCACAAAATCAAATGTAGGCTTAATAGAAGTTAGTACATTTACAAGAGGCAATATGTGTGCTAGAGTTCTTAAGGTAGGTGAACTGTTTATCAGAGAAAACTGCGATTCACAGCCCAGCTCCTTTTACAGTGAGGCATGAGTTCTGCTCAAGAATACTCTTCTCTTTCCTTTCCCTCACAAAGGAACCAGCTGACAAATTTCATCAATGCTATATAGTCACTCAGATAGCAACTACAGTACAAAAGATCCAATTTCATATTTTTTAGTTCATGTCTGTCCTTCTTTATTCCTGAAGATCAAGAACAACTGAAGAATAAATAGACTTAAGAGATTTAAAAAATAACAAATATGCAAGTAATAGGTCTGTGAGTCACTAAGAAGAAACTTTCCAAAAGCCTCAGGTTTTGTCTTTATTTAATTTCTGTGTTCAGAAATCAGTGACCCAAACATTTCATTTATATTGGCTAAATTAGGTGTTCTTATTCTTACGCTAAAAAGGAGAAATAAAAAGATTTGTTCTGATCATTTTAGATTATAAGATTAGAAGAAAAGCAAAAGCTAGAAAGCTTTTCATTTAAGCCAGTTTTATACACTGGAGCACAATTATTAATTATGCCTTGTTCAATAGCAAGTCACTTGTGAGATTTGCAGCTATAACTGTGAGCATCCTGGCTTTTGTATCTTTTATTACTTCTACTGAATAAACAATTGATTATTTTTTTTAAGAGCATCTAAATCATTTAACATGGTGTGCAGGAAATGCTGGGTATAGATCAAAAAATAAAAAGTCAGGGAAGACCTTGAGTTCAATCTTGGCAGAAGAGAAATTGTTGATTTTACAAAGAGGAAATCTTCATTTAAGCCAAAAACTTAACACTGCATTTCATGTCAGCCTTGTAAACCCCAGTAATGCCTTTGGAGTCACTGCACCATCTGTTTAAATCGAAATTCCAGGTAGTGTGTAACTTCTTTGTCTAGAACTCTTTAAAAGCTTTCAGCATGATATGCTAATACCTTTGGCACCAATGTGTGTTTCTTCAGTCTTTTCTAGTATATTTAATACTTAGTTGAAGAATAAACAATTGAGAACCTTGCAGTGAACTTGTGAGCGCAGCAGCCAGGTAAATAGTCATGTAGACAAACAGCTTTAATCTCTTCAAGCCTTTCATAACCTTTGATATACTAGTGTCACTTTTTGATCTTAAAGTGGATTTGTGTACAAAACATACCATTGTTCATTCTGTATTGCAGGTCTGGCTTCACGCACCCTATGAGCTTCATCTGTCATTATTTGAGCACTTCATAGAACTTCTCACCGAGTCCAGGTATGAACCGCTGCCACCCTAGTAATGAGACTTAGAGATTAGGTAATATGTAGACGATGCTGCAATCTTAAATTGCCAACTTGTTTCTTTCCTTCTTCCAGCGAAGCGGCAAAGAACGCTAAATTAATGAGGGAATTCCAACTCATCCCAAGACTGCTCTTGACTCTTCGAGATATGTCTCTGTCCCAGCCTACTATTGCTGCAATTAGTAATGTGCTGAGCTTTCTCCTTCAAGGTTTCCCTAGCAGCTATGACTTGCTCAGGTAGCACACACCTATGATAATTCTGGCTTTTGTGGGGTTTTTAATCATGCTTGTGATCTTGGTCATAAATAATGATAATACTGCTATGGAGTAAGTAGTGGGAAACACATCTGTACTGAATTTTTTCATCCAAGAAGTAACTGAACTAGATGTAGGCAATATTTTGTTAATGCATTGATTTGCATATTAAATTTCAGCTTGTATCAAAACAGGTATTTAAACTGGCTTAATGTTCTGCAGGCAAAAAGTGAAGGTGCTGTATTGCAGCTCTCTTGTCCTTGTGAAACGCTGAGCAGTTTTCTTAAATACCATTACTTAAGATGGAGTATAATGATACTTCTGGTTGAATGCAGCTTTGATTACTTTTTCATGTGAAAGGTTTAGTTCAAGTTTTTGTTCTTAACGATCACTGTGTTGAAAAATATTTAAGGCTGTCAGAGTACTATTAATTCTGACTGATGTAAATTACATAAATAATTGCAGTTCATACATACAGGAGTATTTGAAATGCTTTTCATTTAGTCCAGCTCCTTGAAAACTTAATTTTTCTTGTCTCTACTTTCATTATAATGGAAATGGGTTAAATATTGCAGGGCTTGGGAGTTCTTTTGCATACGAGTGGTCATGTTTTCAGCTTATCACTTAAAGTATAGTTAAAGGTGTGGAAAGCATCAACCTGAACATCTTCCTGTCTTGGTTTTAAATACGCAGAACAAAAAATTATTCAAGAATAAAACTGTTGATTTTATGCTTAAACGGTTACTGAGCAGGTTGTAGAATGTGTTTCTTGATCTCCCTCCTGGAAATAAAAATTAAAAATATTGTATAACTTGGGAAAAGTTACACTAGTTAGGGATCATTCCAGGTTCATTCCAGAGGAAAGAGGAATACATTGCATCTCCTTTCTTTGAGTAGCACGTCATCATCTCGTCTTAGAAAAACATGAACTTGCGTTATATCACCTCAAGCTATAGGCATAAATGTTATACAAGGGTTGATTAATCACTGGTTTTGATGTAATATTTCTTCATCTGTAATGGTTTGAGAATAATGTTTTGTTTTCCTTTCTTTAACTTGTCACGTTCCTTTTACTAGGACTTGGTGGTATCTCCCAGCTTCCTTTCTTGAATCTTAGTATTTTCAGGGTTTTTTGCCTGCAGACTTGTCTGTAAAGATTCCATTAATTACTACGTGTTCATTTGGGTTTTGGCTAGTAACTTTAGATGGAGAACGTTTTCCTACATCTTCAGATGTGAGAAAGTTGACATTTATGGGTATCGCCCTTTCACTAGTGTTAGTTTTATATTTAAGGTGATTTATTGATAGGTGAGAGTGCATCTTTCAGTGAATAATGGGGTTTTTTTCCTGTATACATCAAGGTTTGGACAGTTCATCTCTTCCACTTTACCTACATTTGCAGTCTGTGAGAAGTTTGTGGTCATGGAAATAAACAATGAAGAAAAGCTTGATAGTGGTAAGTGATGGCATGGCTTAGAAGCAGTAGAAGAGAAACACTTTGTGATCTCTTCTGGACTTAAATACTTAAAGTGTACAAACAGTGTCATTAGCAACATTTTAATTTTGTTATAACCTGGCTCCCAGGAAGTTGTGGTACTTGAGTTTTCAGTATTGCATGCAACGCAGTGCCAAACCCATGTACTCTCGTTTTGTTTACCTTCCTTTAACACTGCATAATTTTGTTCTGCTTCCTTCACTCACTCCTTCAAATCAGCTCTGCATCTCTGCTGCTTTGTGGGGAGAGAAAAGAGGCAAAAAGGGATTGCTAGGTGCATATGCCATCCAGGTGGCGAGGAGGTGAAAGAATTAACTAAGTAGTTAATTTTTTAGGCAAAATAAAGAAGTTTCTTTACTGTCCTTGGAGAATGCTTATATTGAATTGTTTTGAGAGCATTCTACCCATGTTTTCCTAAAGAAAAAAGGCTTATACAATTGTTTTCAGTCAGTCTTCCTGAGCAGAAATGTTTTATCCCCACAGTGGATGTCACCCAAATAACTAGAAGGGGGTGCCCGAAGTTCCTATGTTTTGGCATCACTTGAGAAAAGTGAGAGAAGTGTTTCTGCTCCACAGTTACCTTTATTAGTCTGGTTTCCCAAAGAACAAGGTTTAGACAGCCAGTTCATTTGTAATTATCCTCCTGTGTCTCTCCTGTTCCTTCTGAATACTTTCACTTATTGTGGTCTCAAAGATGATTAAATTTCAGCTTTTTAGTACAAAAGTGGGAGTGGATATTGGAGACAGATCCAGATTGATGTTCTCACTACAGACCCAGCCCTGTTTTGTTTTTCCCAGGCTAACCATAGCCTGAGATGCTTTTTCCCTACCTGGGGGACTGAAGAACCTTGGGGAGAAATTCAGGCTGTGGCAAGAATGGAGAGAGAAGCTTTTGAGTCAAAGGATATGAGATTTTTAGGTTACTAGTCTTTACCAGTTCCACTGTATTTCTGCCATAAAAGATGCTTTGTATTTATGTCTGTGACATGTGCACAAGACCTTGGCCCAGAAAGTGTTCATTTATATGCTGTCTTCGTTTTTGCACATCACCTCAAGTTGTGATTATCTTGGTTTTTTAAATAATGTGAAAACATGGTCCTTCTTTGACAGCATAAGGTACAATAAGAGGGATTCACAAAATAACTGTAAAGCTAGTCCAGAGCTGCATGTATTGCCTTGTTTCGCACTGTGTTTTTTCAGTGGATGATGAGTTTGGGGATCTGTTGGGGAAAAAAAAATAAAAGGAAATAAATTTTTTGCACTTTCGCACAGCTTTCTCTTGACCTGAGTGGGGTCAGACTGTGGTTGCTTATGTATGAATAGCTTTTAAAATAACTGAGTTCTGAAAACCTAATTTTGCCCCCTTTTTTGGTGTTTTTGGTTGTTTGGGGTTTTTTTCCCCCCCATGCTTGGCGTTTAGGAACAGAAGATGATTTTGGAGGACTTGTTTCAGCTAATCTTATTCTACTGCGGAACAGGCTTTTAGATATCCTTCTGAAACTCCTGTATACATCCAAAGAAAAGACAACTCTTAATTTGCAGTAAGTACAAAAAAACTTGATGTACAGAAAGGATATGATTTTTTTGCAGCCCCCTTTCGATTCACTAATTGAATTGCATAATTTTATGTGAATGATCTGTGTAGATGTCATTGAATTGGCTTTGGGTGTGCTACCAGAAATGGAATGCATGATTACTGAGTTGTATGCTGTCAGTTGTGGTAGCAAGAGTGATAGTACTAAACAGACGCTGGTGTGACTAACACATACCATTCAGCTATTGCATTAACTGGTTTTTGGTTTGAATCTTTAGGAAAAAAAGAAAGTTAAAGATAGTGGTTGACAGTGTTAGTAGAAACTTATGCTTCAAGTTAGGAACAACAGAAGTAAATGTCAGCAGGAGAGGAAAATGCCAAGTAGATTTTCAAGGAGGTTGCTTGCTTCTTATTGTTACTTCATGAAAGAAAAAGAGCATTTGTTAATTGTTAATTTTAAAACTCTCTGAGGATCACAAGGGATTAAGATGCAGTGGGAACAAGTGTGGATGTCTGACTACTTTGATTTTTTTTTTTTTTTTAAGTTTTGTTTTCTGGAGAGCCAGTTCTTTAACACTCTGCTCTCCTCGTGTACTTCCTTGTGCTGTTTTCTCATAACTTCAGGCATTGCTGTAGAGAAAATAAACTGTCAAAAGAGAAGACTTTTTTTAGAGAAGTGGGATAGTCAGCTTCTCATTTGTTCAAGACCAAGTAGCTTCAGTAGGGGTTTTTGTTAGGTTATTGTTGACTCTAGCATGCCTCTTAGTTCCTTAAAATTGCACATAAGGGAAAATGGTACTACAGTTCAATGAGGCACCAGACTCATATGGTCAGTTGGAGAAGAGACTGGAGGCATTTTGTGCATGTACAGCTTATGTAGATTATGTAGTGATTGAGTGAGCATTGATTGACATACAGCCCAAACCTGTTTGAGCTTTTCAGCAATACTGCTTTAAAAAAATAAAAAGGAAAAGAAAATTATCATACTCTTTCAAATATTCCCAAGCAACTCTTTCCTTAATAAAAAAAACCCCCACCCATCTTCATTTTTTAATACTGGTTTATTAAAAAGGCTTAGGAAAACTCTCTGCCTGTGTGTGGCTCAACAAAAACTACTTGGAAATTATAAATATTTCCAGTTCAGTATTCCACATTTGTTCTCAAAGCAGCAACTGGAGAAATATTATGCAGTGGAATAGTCCCAGTAGCTGTATTTGGTCTTCACTTTCTGGTAAACCAATACAATGTAAGTGTTCCAATTAATGAGACTTGGTGAGCAACATTTCTTATTGTGTGGTAAACTACCTAAGAATTCAGTTAACTCTTCAATAGATTTAAATTTTCTCTGATCTTGATGCTTTCCCTATAGTGGAGTGCACTGATTTTTGCTCTGTAATAGGAGGTTAAATGCTGTAAATTGTGACTCCTTTTTAATTTTAATTTTTCCCCTCTTTTTAATTAGAGCTTGTGAAGAACTGGTCAAGACACTGGGTTTTGACTGGATTATGATGTTTATGGAAGAACACCTGCATTCCACCACGGTCACAGCAGCTATGCGAATTCTTGTGGTGCTGTTGAGTAATCAGTCCATCCTTATCAAATTCAAGGAGGGTCTCAGTGGTGGAGGCTGGCTGGATCAGACAGATTCTGTCTTGACCAATAAGATCGGTACTGTGCTAGGTATGGCATCTCGGCTGCTCAGCGACTGAAGGCTTGAGTGGGAGAGCACGTGTGAATGTGTTGAGGCAGGGGTTATGGTGTGAATGCTGTCTGACCGATGGATCCTTTCTGTTACTGTTGGCCATGCCGTGATCAGATGCCTCTGCACTTCATTTTTCTTAGAACTGAGAGTTAGATTTCCTAAGCAGAAGGGAACGGTTTAACAGAACTGCCCTCCAGTTGACATTATGCAGGTTTCATTATCGCTCGGTCGTATCATCTGCACAAATCCTGAGTAGCTAATCAGTTTTTTCTGTTAGCATTATGGTAAGGTTAAGTTACGTCCCACAGGCAGGCACATCTGAGCTAGATGCAAAGGCAGCATAGTGTAGGACCTTATATACACAACTGATAAAAGTTCAGTAAAATTTACCCAATTGTTTAATTTCAATAGTTAGAGCATCATTATAAGGAAATAATTGTCAAGTGTTGAAGTGATTTTACTTCAGGAGGAGGACTTTTCCTGAAATGAAAATGTGAAGTCCGTTTTTTTTCTGTTTTGTCGCTTTGAAATCTATCAAGGTATCTTATGCTATCTTGTTTTCTGCAGAAATAAAACTGTCTAGGAAGTCAGTCTAGTTAGTATTTTCCCATAATATATCCCTCAGGATATTCAACTGGCAACAGAAGATGGTTCTTTGCATTATCAATGAATTAGAAAGGCTAAGGCACACAGTTTTTCTGAAACCACATTACGTGTGCAAATGCTTATTAGTAACGTACTATAACATCTGTTGTTTGGCTAATTCGGATTAAGGTCCTGTATTTTAAGAAACATTTTTGCATATGCATGCATATTGCCATCATGTGCCTTAAAATTTGAAAATTATATTTTAGGGAAGTGACTGCTGTTTAGTCAGTTTCCACTTTAAATGTCCAATAACATAAAAATTTTCTTCAGTCACCAAATCTTTCTAAATAAGATTTTGATTTGCAATCACATTTGGAGAGCATTTCCAGAGTTTTCCCTTTTTTTTCTTATTATAATATCACTTTATTTGAATCCAAGCTAGACTGTGACCAAACAGATATTTTTTAAATTGTGTCTCATCAAATGATAGGGACAGATTATTTAATTTTCATACCCTGTGTTTTTGTGAATAACTTAAGAGTGCATTGGCTCCAGGTTTTCACATGAAACCAGCTAGGAGCCATTTTTTTTCGAGATTACTGATGGAATGCCTGCAACTTTGTAGCAAAGGTTTTGTGAGTCTGATTCAGGGTAGATGTTTCCTGTTTAGAAAGTCAATTTCTGGTGGAAAGAATATCTGTATTAGAGCCTCAGAAAAACAACCTGATCTCTGGCAGCATCAGAAGAATGGCTCACTCTGTGCTGATGTGGAGACTGAACTGTCATCTTGCTTCCTTCCTCACTTGACAATAAGCGCTTCTGCTGTTCTGGTGTACTACGGTTTGGTTGGTTTTTGTGATAGGAGGATGATATACCTAGGTAGGACCGGGGTCACAAGAGGTGAGTTTTGTGCCTGGTCAGCACTTGAAGATAACATAAGGGCATTTAATGCTTCATAGTAACTGATTAATCAGTAACAAAAGAGCTGAAACAAGATGCTCCTGAGACATCTTTGAAAATAAATAAGCTACCCATGGACTTGAATGGGTCATGGGATTGCTGCTTGGTAATACAGGATTGCAACTGAGATTAAGGTGATATTTCCCCCTCAGCCAAATGAAGTATCTTTTTTTCAGAAGCCTGGATGTTTTAAAAGTCTGAAATTGGGGTCATGGTCAGAAAATAGATCTGTGTGTATATGCAGTAGCATTAAGCAGTCTGTATGGACCAGAGTCATCTGTGTGGTACTGGAAGGCAGTAGTTTCCTTTTTTTTTTTTTAATTGATTAATTAGACATCTGAAGCAGAATTGCATAACGTGTGAGATAGTTTGTATGCACACTTTTTTTTTTTTTTTTTACAGCATTAATTTCTGAGGAGGTACCCTCTCGGGCTGAGCAAGAGTGAGCTTCACAGGCTCTATTAACATTGTTGGCTTTTTGTATTTTTTTTTTTTTTTTCATCACAGGGTTCAATGTCGGCAGGAGTGCTGGTGGCAGGTCAACAGTCCGGGAGATTAACCGGGATGCTTGTCACTTCCCAGGCTTTCCTGTTCTGCAGTCACTTCTCCCAAAGCACACTAATGTACCTGCACTCTATTTCCTCCTCATGGCCCTTTTCCTGCAGCAGCCAGTCACTGAACTGCCCGAAAACCTGCAGGTCAGTGCGCCTGTCACCAGCAGCCGATGTAATCAGGGCTGCCAGGTAGGGATTATCTAGTAAGATGTAAATGTAATTCTGTCTGTCATGAAAGAAAATAATAGATTAACCAGGCCCCCTCCTCCTTCTCTGCAGCTGACTCACAGTCACGATATGGTGTTCAGTGCTGAGTCTTTGGGGTGGGAAGACAAGGTGCCGTGGGAGTATGTGGAAGCCGGTCTGTTATGGCATAGCTGTTGCTGGTGTCTTTATGGTCTGTTTTGGGATCAAATGAGAAGCAGATCCCTGGTTTGAGCTGACATGGTGTGGGCATTGAAGGCGCATACTTTTTTGCTTGCTTTCATTGTTGTTTGTTTTGTTGAAAGAGTGGGAAGTTGCTGTGGTAAAGACAGTTCATTCAAAACAAGGTAGCTTTTATTTCAGAAAGTCTCTGTGGTTTTGTAGAGAGGCATCTCAGTTGTTGCTGGAAAACGTTTATTGTTCTTACTCTGAACAGGTCAGTTTTGGACTTTTTAATTGTGTGTAAATGAGTAGATATCATATGGTCTGCAACAGAGAGTCCTAGGAAGCCTTAGTATGGTGCTTTATGGGGAAAAGCCACACGCAGTGCCTATTCAGAATGGATACAGTGCTAACACTGATTTATCAGTGGGAACAGGAAAGTAAAAATTTCAGACCAGAAGGTATTCTGCCTGCCTGTTTTCTCAAGAGGAATGCCTGAAAGCACATTTAGCACTGTCCTACAGTGAAGTAGGGGCATGAAACTCACCTCCTTCATACAGCACTGAAGTACAGCACTGTTAAAATTCAACTACTGGAAGTATTTAGCAGTAGCAGTTATAGTGCTAGAGGTGGGCACTTTGTCCTTTTTTATTTTTTAATTGATTTAATTTTTTGGACTTGCTGAAAAATGCAACTTTGTTTTATTCTCTGTTGTTGGTTTGGTGGTTTTGGTGGGGTTGTTTGTTTTTTCTGTGGGATACCATATGGGTTCTACTGCTAGATGTGGGTAAACTGAGGTGATTGTGCGGCACTTGTGCTGACAGGTCTCTTGTTTCAAAACACTTACATACTTTTAGAAGGTGAGAGTTGCAGTTACGGTAGCCCATGGTTAGAAGGCATTTTCTTCAGTGACGTGACCTTCATATAAGGATTTGGGCATAAAATTTGAGGATTTGAAACAAATTTTTTTAGATACTGCCAAATGAGCATCTTGTAGGTCTAATAAAAAGCAGTATCAAATTGCACAGGAGAAAGGGATTATTTCATATCTTCTTTCTTCTCTTTCACTTCTTACAGTTTGATTTAGACTCTATTTGGACATTCATATTTGGAGTTCCTGCCTCCAGTGGCACTGTTACCTCTTCAATACACAGTGTTTGCACAGAAGCTGCCTTCTTGTTACTGGGAATGCTGAGGAGCATGCTGAATTCCGTAAGCATAAAAAATTTTGCTTGTACTTGAATATACAGAATTGTTCAAGTTTGCCATGTGGTCAGAAACCAAATTAGAAAAGGTGAGAATTTTAGTGTCATGACAAACTCAGCTGTTAGTTAGGGTCATAATAGTCGGGTGAAAGCAGTTGTTGTCAGTGGATTATTCTTTCTTCCTTTATTTTTCAGTATCTGTGGAAATAGTGGCCAAAAATTAATGCTGCTTTTTCACAGAAAGGCTTGGCTTTGTGTTTTCCTGCAATTAAAACAAATCAAGAAAGCAGAGGGATAAAATGCCTTTGTCAGAGATCATTGAATTTCTCTCCTGATTAACATTGTAGGGGAATGCTTGAGAGTCTGTATCCCATCTGCTCAGAGCTATGCAGGTTGCAGATTTCATGCATGAACCTTCCACATGCAGAGAAGTCCCCTGACTATTAATAGCTACATGCTGGAGGAAATGAATTTGCTGCCAGAAAAATGTGTTGTCTTCTCATCTTTGAATCTAGTAGTGAAATTTGTGTTCTCAGTGGGAAAATTTTGTATTTCCTTGGAAGTGGAGTGTGTAATCTGCTGAAAATTATCTCCTGAAATGTTTGAAAAGCAGCACCTGTTTGGCTGTTGCCTGTTTAGTCATCAGGTGTTTGCGATACACTGAGAAGCATTGCTTTGCATGTCTTTCCCATGTTAACATGTTCAGAAGCATCTTCTGGATGTGTCTCCTGGTTACATGTTCATGACCTGCTGCAGTACATGTTCCTGTTGTCATGTGTTCTGTCTCTTGCTCCTGACCTGTTTTGTTGTGTGTTTGATCCTCATCTGTACGGACACATTTGTGACATGCTCGGAGACATGTGCTGTCTCTTGCCTTGATGTCTTGTGCTGTGCCATCAGGTCTGTGTTCAGATGTGCCATCAGGTATTGGTTTGACATGAGCCAGGTCATGTTTACCGACATGTTTAGAATCATTACCTATTCAGATACACGTTTTGCCTTATGGTCAATCATGTGTTGTAAATGTGGTCAGTCTCACTGTGATGTGCTTGAACATGTGCTCAGGCATAGGCTGCTGTCACGTGTTAGGCTGCCATGTGTTATTGCTGTGGGTTTACTACATGTTCGGTCATGTGTCTGGTTACGTTTCACTGTGTGATTGCAACTTGTTTCAGCCTGTTTTATCATGACATGTCCTGTTATAATGTTGTGTTGCATTCATCTACATGTTTCTCCTGCATTTATAATACGGTGGCATGCTGCCGTGTTCAGTCACGTTTGTGATGCCTTGGACACATGTTCTGTTATCACATGTTCTGTTGTCGCCTGTTGCAGGCACATGGTTTGGACATGTGGCTTATATGTTGATCGAAGTTGGTGGCTTGTTCAGTTGTCACATTCTGGAGGCAAGATTAACTATGCGTGGTCACATTGGTCAGGTGTTCATCCTGTGGTGACATGCTCAGACGTGTTCTGTCACATTGGGTCAAATTTGTGACACGTTGGTTATGTGCTCAAACACGTTTCCTGTCACTTGTTTGATCACATATTAGCTTGCATGTTTGGATACTGACTTCAGTCATGTGTTGTAGACATGCCTTTGGTCATGTGTTCTGACAAGTGCTCCAACACATATTTGAGATGCTCTGGATGTGTTTTTCACACTTGGTCATGTGCCTGGCCACACATTAGGTCACTTATTTCTGCTCTGCTTCAACAAGTGCTTGTCCATGTGATTGATCACATTTGGCTCCATCTTTGATCACGTGTCACGATCGTGTTTTACTGCACATTTGACAGTGTGTTTGTTTGCATGTTTGACCCTATAGCAGCTCCTGTCTGAAATGAGCATTCTTCAATTAGTGCCATCTGTGCTAATGTGCCGTTTGTTTTTCAACGCAGCCTTGGCAGTCAGAGGAAGAAGGCTCTTGGCTTCGAGAATATCCAGTCACCTTGATGCAGTTCTTCCGATATTTGTATCACAATGTGCCGGACCTCATTTCCTTGTGGATGAGTCCAGAGTTCCTGTGTGCGCTGGCCGCGACAGTGTTTCCTTTCAACATCCGACCTTACTCTGAGATGGTAGGAAATACAGCTAGTTAACTGGGGGGTTTTGTGTTTGGTTTGTTTTTGATTTTGGGTTGGTTTTTTTTTTTTGGTGTGGTGGTGTTTGTTTTCCCTCCTGCCTGTTATTTTTGAGGATTTATCAATTAACAGTCACACGGACATAAAGCTCTGCTTACCCTGCAGAAAGAGATCATTGCAAGTGCTGGGCTGAATGTTTTGTACTTGGGTTTGGAACGGGGAGAAGTGCATGTTCAGCTAAAGGGCAGTTGCTGTGCAGTGACATTTGAAACTGCATTTTAGGGGGAGTGTACGTGGTTTATTTGTTTTCTAGTGGACCTTTATTTTCAGTCATATGAACAGTGTTAGCTCAGATTTACCAAAGCAAGAGACTGAGTCAGCCTGTGCTTTCAGCCCTCTGCACTGGAGGGTATGACAAAATCTAAAACTTTTTCCTCCCACTTTCCTTTTTTTCTTTTGTGGCTTAACCAGTTAAGTGTTCTTGTGTTACAGGGAACTGAGTTCAAGCCAGGAGAGGGCGTGATTCAACTTTGCTTTCATTGCTGCCTGAAGTATTCTTTGAACTTAGTGGCATTTATAAATGATGCTGTTTCTAGAACCTGAATGGAAAGGATACAAACAATTATTGTTAGCCAACAGATAAAAGTAATTTTACTAAGAACGTGGAAGGATGGTTAGGCTGCAGGTTGGCAAATGTCAGAACTAGGGAGGGTGTGATAAAATTCTTATGGAAATACTTGCTGGTGGCATGCTATTTGTTTTTTTGCCAATAAATGCACTCTGATGAAGGTGTCGTATTAAAAAAAGAAAAAGCTCAGTTCCTTTTTTGTTTTCTGTCATGTAAGCTTCATAGCCTCTTTCAGTTGGCTTCTCTCTTGATTTTAACCGCTTTATCATAGAATCACAGAACGGTTTGGGTTGGAAGGGACCTTAAAGATCATCTAGTTCCAACCCCCCTGCCATGGGCAGGGACACCTTGCACTAGACCAGGTTGCTCAAAGCCTGATCCAGCCTGGCCTTGAACACTTCCAGGGATGGGGCATCCACAGCTTCTCTGGGCAACCTGTTCCAGTGCTTTACCACCCTCTCTGTGAAGAATTTCTTCCTGATATCTAATCTAAACCTTCCTGCTTTCAATTTAAATTTGTTACCCCTTGTCCTGTGTCAGTACAGGCCCTTGTAAAAAGTCCCCCCAGCTTCCTTGTAGGCCCCTTCAGGTACTGGAAGGCTGCTATAAGGTCTCCACGGTGCCTCCTCTTCTCCAGGCTGAACAAGCCCAATTCTCGCAGCCCTTCATCATAGCAGAGGTGCTCCAGCCCTCTGAGCATCTTCTTCGGGACTCGTCCCAACCAGTCTATATCCTTCTGATGTTGAGGGCTCCACAGCTGGATGCAGTACTCCAGGTGGGATCTCACAAGAGCAGAGTACAGGGGGAGAATCCACTCCCTTGACCTGTTGGCCACACTTCTGATACAGCCCAGGATAGTTAATAACTTTTTCAAAACTTATTGCAGTAAGAAAAATCTGGTTTTGCGAAGTATCTAGAAATTGCTCAAGTACTTCTTGGTAAGTGAAAGTGAAATGTGATCTCTAATTCACATAACTCATGCCAGTCTTCATTGATTACTGTTTGCCTTGTGAGTCTGAAACTAGAATTTGGATAAGAATAAGGCTTCTTAAGAAGCAAAATATGAAGTTAATAGCCTTAGAAAGGCAGGTGAAAAACAGAGTAGTGAAAAGACTGCTGTCAATTTGCTGATCTCTAGAGTTTTAACATGCTGTTTTTCACAGGTCACTGATCTTGATGATGAAGTTGGGTCCCCAGCTGAAGAGTTTAAAGCTTTTGCAGCTGATTCTGGCATGAACAGAAGCCAGTCAGAATACTGCAATGTTGGCACCAAGACATACCTAACCAACCATCCTGCCAAGAAGTTTGTGTTTGACTTCATGCGTGTGCTCATAATTGATAACTTATGTCTCACACCAGCCAGCAAACAGACTCCACTGGTTGATCTTCTGCTAGAGGTATAGTTTCTTTGGGTTTTGTGTTTTATTTTTATTATTTGAACTTACTGAGACACTTCATTCCCTAAATGGGTTTGATCTGTCCCATTTAGTCATTTTTTACTGAGGGAGGTGACTGTGTGAACTGAGGAGATCACAGTTTAGTCACAAATTTGTGCACCTTTTTGGAATTCACAGGAGCTGAGAAAAGAGACATTTATCTACAGCACCTTCCCCCTCCCTCTTTTTGCTCACTCAGAGGTATTAATTGTATTTCTTCTATCAGGCTTCCCCTGAAAGATCAACACGAACACAGCAGAAGGAGTTTCAGACATATGTTTTGGATGGAGTGATGGACCACTTACTTGCAGCTGATGTTTTATTGGGTAAGATTTAATTATCAATCTATTGATTTGAGCAAAAGGGTTTGATTATTTACTTGTTCTTTATTAGTGTCCTGTTTTGTCACAACTTGTCTTTGTTTTTTTATCCCTGCCCTTTTCTTTGATATGTAAATGGTGTTACTGTGCTGCAATGTTCCTTCACTATCTTGATGGTGCCAAAGCTGTAAAATGGGTTACTCAAAAAAACTGTATGGCAAAGGTCATTTGGATATGTAAGCCAGACAAATTGCAGTCATGTCAGGAAGAACTGAAACTGGATCTTGCATCATCTCTCTTGTACTTCTTGCCTTGGTAGAGCATCTGGAGCTTTTGTCAATCGTGGGTAGGACTTTGATTTTTAAGTTAGCTTTGTTTCCATTTCCTCCTACTGTAGTTTTATGTTGAATGCAGCACCCCAGAAAAAAATGCTGGGATTAGCATTCCATTGATCCAGTTAATAAATGGACAGGAACAGAATTAGAAACTTGTAACTTGGCTGTCAGTAGGGTAGGCTGTCCCACCAGAACTTTGGTTTAGATGATTGTGAAGTGGCCTGTAGGAATATCGCTGCTCAAGTGCCCAGTCAGATTTCATGGTGGCCAGTTGGAGTTCCAGGAGCTCTTGGTCTGCTCTATCTGCATCACAGATGTCATGGGGCAGCATGTGTTTTGCTTACCATCAACAGATCCTTGTAGGAAATCCATGAGGTTTTAGTTTTTTCTTTGACTAAGTCTCTTTTACAGAAGTCTAGAAAGCACAGACTAATGTGAATGTATTTATGCAGATGTGTGTTTCTGATAAATGAAGAAAACCTTGGGGGTTTTTTGTTACCTAGGTGAAGATGCATCTCTGCCTATAACGAGTGGAGGAAGCTACCAAGTGCTGGTGAACAACGTGTTTTATTTCACACAGCGTGTGGTAGATAAGCTTTGGCAGGGCATGTTCAACAAAGAATCCAAACTTCTTGTGGACTTCATAATTCAGCTCATTGCACAGGTAACAGTGTTCTATTAGCCTGCTTGTGAAAACATTTTCACAGGTTACGTTAAAATGCACGGAATGATGTCACTGAGCAACCTGCTAGTAATGTATGTCAGGTCAGCACAGAAGTACACTTTTCTTCCCAAGGCTTTCTCTCTTTCCTGAGCTTCCCTAGCAGATCTTGCCAGTGTGGAGTGCTTTAATATGGGGCAGTTGAGTAAAAACTGCTTTCAGGTGACATTTTTTTGAAATCCCCCAAAATAAACAACAGAATTTATCTCACATGGATTATGGGAAGCTTCCTAAATATACCTTGACATTTTTGGGAAGCTTCCTGGTGGACTTTTATTGGAGATTGTTAGAAGAGTTTTACTGTCAGAAATAGCAGCATCTTTATAGATGTTAAAATTGTAGGTATCATCATGTGTTAATGTAATTTCAGTTCTTGAAATCATGGAATTGACACTTCTGGTAAAATACTGATTTTGAAAAATAAGCATGGGTCATTTCAGGGGAAGATTGTGTGCCAGTAAATTGATTTTCTGCCACTATCTGATCGTTATTTTTTTGCTTCACATCAGTCAAAAAGAAGATCTCAGGGACTATCGCTGGATGCTATTTATCACTGCTTGAACAGGACCATTTTGTATCAGTTCTCAAGGGCACACAAAACTGTTCCTCAGCAAGTGGCTCTCCTTGATTCCCTAAGGGTTCTTACTGTGAACAGAAACTTAATTTTGGGACCTGGAAATCATGATCAGGAGTTCATCAGCTGCCTAGCTCACTGCTTGATTAATCTGCATGTGGGAAGGTAAATATCTCAGACAAGTTCATTCCAGAACCAGGGCTGTGAAGTGACCTGCTCTCTCAGCAGTGACACTCACTTTGCAAACAAGTCAGCAAATTCTGGACAACTGTTTGTAACTTTCCAGCCAGTGAAATGCAAACAAGCTTAAGTGATTTATTTTGAAACAAAATCAGGTTTGGAAAGCGCAAGTATAGAGAATGTTCTTAGCTCCTTTGCCAAAGGTGTTTTAAAATAATACTCACACAAGGGCTTATCTAACCATGTTGTTGTTAAGCTTTGGTAATTTGAAATGTTTTCAAGTTAGAAAGAAACACTGGTGCTAAGTAATTAATAGTCAAAGGAGATCTGTCACTAGATTTATTGTCTATTGCATCATTTCCTACAAATAACCATATCTTACTACTTGGATGTATAGCACTGATTAAGCCCAGTCAGGCATTAAATCAGATGGCCATGACAAATGCTGTAGGCACCTACTTACCTGTATTGCTGCAAATGCCTGCCTGGCATTTTCATTTTTTTCTTTCCAAAAAGATGCACAACTTCTGTTTCTTCCAAAGACACTTGGGGAAGTGTCAGCAGCAGAAACCATATTTTTTCAATTTGTGGTCTCGGCTGTTTTGTGTTTTGTCAGATATTACCACCTTCCTCTAGTGACATCAGTGCCCATGGCATGTCATTTTTCATAACCTTCAGGTCAGCTTGTGACCACAGATGATCAGAACTCAGGTGGACACAAGTGAAGAGACATTGCTGTACTAGCATGTATTGACCTTTGTCACAGGGAATCAAATGCTTTAGTTTGTTGGTTTGTTTTCGGTTTTTTTTCCTGGTGGATGTTAATTCACTGTGTATTTGTAGCAACGTGGATGGGTTTGGATTGGAAGCAGAAGCCAGGATGACAACTTGGCACATCATGATCCCCTCTGATATAGAACCAGATGGAGTCTACAATCAAGATGTCAGCGAAGGTAATCTGAGCGTGACAAATCCACTGATGCCTGCTAATGCCACTTCTGTATTGTCGTCACTAATCTTTTACCCCAGTTACTGTTTGGGATGGAGGTGTGTTGGGGCGGGGGGGTGTGTGTGTGTATGAAAATAGATTAAAAATAGATTAAAAACCACTTAGAAATACCAAGACAGACACATTTAGGATAAGTTACTGTTTTGTTAAAATAGCAAGCGCTTTTCATTGTTTTCTGGACATGCACCAGAATTAGAAATGCTGCTTTACATGCACTGAGTTGAAAACAATAGAAATGGGTCATTTTAATTGTGCACCATGGGTTTGTATCAGCTGGATCTTACATGAGCTAAGGTAAGAAATAATTTGTATAAGCTGTAAAATTATTATCCAGTGGATACTGAGGATCTTTCACTCAAAGGAAATTTATGAACTAGCTGTGGAAGAAAGAATTCAGTGGTTTGGTTTCTGGTTTGTTTGGGTTTTTTTAACATGTATACATGTAATATGTATGCAGGTATATGTACATTCATATGTAAAAATATTGAACTGTAATGTATGTATGGAATTATATATGTGTTTATAGACATACATTTCTAATATTTTTTTGAATCTTGTTAATAGTTGGATGTGAGAGAAGAATCACAACTAATCAGAGCCAGTGTTTCAGGTTCACAGGGCTTAAACTGCTGAAATTAACTGTTAGGTACTTTCTGATAGTATATAAAGGGGGAAAAAATACAGTCTGTCTAAAGGCATTTCACAAGTCATGCAAGAGGAGAAGAAAATAGGGCATAATTGCAGTAATTATTCAGTTCACTACTGTAAAATTACCGATTCTGTATGCACCGTAGAGAGCTTGCTGTCTGTGATCTTGTACCTATGCAGGTCGCCAGCTGCTTTTAAAAGCCATAAACAGAGTGTGGACAGAGCTGATCCATAGTAAAAAACAGGTTTTGGAAGAAGCTTTTAAAGTGACACTACCGGTCAATGATCGTGGCCAAGTGGATATCACTGTTGCAAGACCTTTTATTGAGGAAGCAAGTTTAAAGTGTTGGCAAAATCATTTGGGTAAGTGTAACTGAAGATTTATTAGTCCTGAATGGAGATTTCATTGAAGTGAACCACATGCACTGTATGTTTTAGTACAGATTCAGCTTATGTAGCAGTAGGTACTCTATAAACTGTCACCATTTAACACCTCTCGTTCAGAAACTGTCCCATGTGTAGGATAGACACTGCACACAGGGCCTTTATTCAACACTGTCAGTGGTCTCAACATCACCTTGTGTTTGTGAGTCAGTGCACCAAATGGTGTATTGTGGATTATGGTGATGGAGTCGTTTAGCTCCTTCCCATGAACACTTGGATTGGGGTGGCCTGTGTTACCGTTCTCAGGATTGGATGTGCGAGGCAGCGAGAGGGGGACCCCTCTTGAGCATACATCTGGGTGCAGCATGCGAACCTTTGGTCTGGTGATACAGTTGGAAATCTGTGACTGAGCAGTCCTTTTCTAGCAGCAGTGATACTATGACTTTTCCTTCTTGGCTAGGAAATCTGTTCAGCTTAGAAAGCAGCTTTGCAGAAAAAGGACCTTGGAATACTGGTGGACAGCAAGTTAAGCACGAGCTAGCTCTGTGCCCATCTGGTAAAGAAGGCCAACTGTTGCTGGACTGAATTAACATGAGTTTAGACAGCAGATGATAAAATTACATAGGTGCAAGTCCTTTGATGATTATATGGCTCTAAAATAATTGACGTAAACCTGGAGGTACAGAAAGCATTTTTGGAAATCGTATTTCTAGATGTGCTTTGCCCTGGCTGATGTTCACTGAAGTTTCCAGTACCTCACTGATAGTATATTTGCAGAATTGTTTTGGGTAGAGTGAAGGATCTTTGGAGAAATTCTTGCTATAAGAAAGTACAGTGGTTTTAAAAGAAGAAAAAGAATGCTCAGAGGAGGAGTAAATTAAAGAAACAGTGAGGACCGTGAGTATGTACTTGCTAAATCAAAGGTAACTGATGTACAGTAGGATCCATTAGCTGAATGTCAGGAGGATGTTAAACCAGTTGGGAGTGTTGAACTGAGCTGTGATTATTTATTTTATTTTTTAACTTCAGTTTTAAAATAAGTACACCATTCTTGTGGAGTTGACTATCAACTGGGGTGGTTATACGTGCACGAAACCATGCAGTAGACCCATCTAGCTTTTCTGCTCAAAACAATGTACTTTTGCTGCCAGATCGGTTGGTGGGGTCATGCTGTAGCTCCTTTTTGGGTAGAGATATGGCTGCCTAGCTGGATTTTTTTTTTTTTTTTTTTTTGGCTAGTATCTGCTGTTTATAACATAATTATATAAATTCTGTTATCTTTGTAACTGTCTTGAGGAAAAAAAAAAATATTTTCCCAGATGCTGTCTCCCTGCTTTGGAATGCCCACTTTTTCTTCACGGGATATAAATCAGCAGGGTAGAGGGAGGTTGGGTGATGATTTTGTTATAAATAGCTGCTTTTCATGTCTTCACATGAGGGCAGAATTCATAGCTCATTGACCCCAGTTTTGATAACTGTCAAATGGAGTAACAAATCTGTTTGTCATGCTTTATTTCAAAATGCAAGCAATTCCCAGATTTCACCTGGGGATCTTTCTTTATACAAGTCATGAATGTGAGTGCTGCTGGGCACACTTAAAAAAATCCCCCAAACACCCACCTTTTTAAAGCAGTGAAAAATATCTTTGTATTTAAAATGAAGAATTATAGTGGGGGGATGAAAAGGAAACAACACCTAAAAATTGCTTCCAACACTTCCTCTTTGGTTTTCAGCTCATGAGAAGAAATGCATCAGTAGAGGGGAGGCTTTGGTTCCAACCACACAGTCCAAACTTTCACGAGTTAGCAGTGGGTTCGGCCTCTCTAAACTAACTGGTTCCAGGAGAAACCGCAAGGAGAGTGGGCTTCATAAACACAACCTCTCTACACAGGTAATTTCTGTCGATTAGTAACACACAATCTAACATCCAGCAATGTATGCACAGGTTTTGTGGTAAATATTCCAGTGTAAGGAAACCTGCAGTGTGTGAAGTGATACCTGGTGCTTGGTTTTCCCCTTTTTGAATATTCAGACTGGGCATCTTGCTTCTGCGTGTCCTAACCTAGTAGGTGCATCTGCCTATCTGTAACGTTAAACCAAGAGTTCAACTCTTTGTCGTTGTGAGACTGAGCTGCTTCTGGTTACCTGTGTGCTTTATTGCTTTGCTAGTCTGGGTCTTCAATTCAGTTTGCAGTTCTGCTCTGAAATGGAAGCTGTGAGATAGGTGCTTGTCCTTTTTTCCATTCTGCCCCCAAAGTTATGTGGTTTAGGAAAATCATTATATATGCATGCATCATGACGGAACAAATCCTGCTTTGCACTGTTGTTATGTACTACAGAGAGGAGTTGAACAAAACATCGTGATGGTAGAGCAGGACATTTGTAGCACAGCAGTGGCTCTTGCAGGAGGACGGTACCTGGGGTGGGGCATTGCAAGGAGTTAGTATAACATATTCGAGGCATTGAGAAGAAAGGAAAGAGAGGGGTTTAAAAGTTTTGGAGGCTTGTATTTAGAAGTTGAAACACTGGGGAGATGTTGGGTCAAGGGGGGCAGGTGTATTCCTGCCACAAGGAAATGTATAACTCCTGTTGACTTTACCAGAGTTTGTTCCCTGTGAAAAAAATACATTGCCAGTTCTCATACTGATCGGAAAATTATTCAGTGGCTTTGATAAAATAAAGAATTCTGAGTGCTCTCAGTCTTTTTCCTGGTAAGCAGGCATACCCTTTTCAAATGAAAAGGGAGAAACTCACAAACGGAGCGGACAGGAGCTGTTACTGGCTGTAGCAGTAGAGGGAGCAGTAAGTGAAAACAGGTATATTTCGGTACAGTGAGGAGTGCTGAATGTCTTGAGGATTTCTACCAAGCTAAGCAGCATTCACAAAATATTACTTAAAAGGAAATAAGGAAAAGCAGTAATACATGCCAGTGCCAATCGTTGGCAGTTTGGGAGTGTTCTGAACATGTGTTTGCAATATTTTCCAAATGTTTGTCAGTTTCTTTTAAAGGATATTCCTATACATCATTTTACTGCCTTAAAACCAATCAACCAAACCCCCCCCCCAAAAAACCCCAAACAAAATATTCAGTACTGCTGCATGCAGTAGTTTGAAGTTCATCATCTAAATTGGTTTTTGTTTGTTTGTTTTTTGAAGAACTAGCCTTTGTGAGCAAGAGTAGCAAGGTGATGTATTCATAGGCTTTTCATTTACACAAAACCTGCTTTTATAAAATGTCATTCTGTCCTCTTCCCTTTGTATTAGGAAATCTCCCAGTGGATGTTTACTCACATTGCAGTGGTTCGGGACCTGGTTGATATGCAGTATAAGGAATATCAGGAGGTATGGTTCGGAGGATTAATTCCCTGACACTTGGGCTGTACTGATCCTCTTCCCAGTATGGGGCTTGTAAAATATTAGGTTGTCATTGGTGAAATGCTTGAATATTTAGACATAATTGTTATTAAGCTTTTTCTTTTAAAATGCAGTCAACCAAACAAATGAGGAAACTCATTTTGATCCAGTTGTAGATGAAAACTCTTGTAGCAATATTACATGTTAAATCGTAATTATTTTCAAGAAGTCTAAGTAGTCTTTCCTTAAAAGTGTTAAAAAAAAAAGTGGTATTAGAAATATTAGAATTTTCTGACTTTCTAAAACATACAAAAACTTAAGAGAAGATGCAGAGAAGCACTGTGTACAAACATTGATTTTTGTAGTAACACAAAGAATTTTATGGCGCCTTTCTGAAATCATGCAGCGATAGAAAGTGGCTGCTCTGTGTTTTCCAGAATTAAATCATTGCGCCCTGTGGTGTCTTTCAGACATCCTCAAAGACCTTTGGTTCACACTAGTTGCTGGGCTGTGTGCTATAAATCGTAAGAAACCAGCTTCTGAGAGAAACAAGTCACTGAAAGCAATTAGATAAAAAACCCATCCACCAGACTTTGCTTCATTTAACTCCTTTCTCCAGTGTAAATCCAAGCAGGGAGGGCCTCCAAACCATTTTTTGTTTTCATTCTTAAAATCCTTCAAAGTCAGTGGATTAGTGTTACATTTCTTCTGCATGTGCCATTTAGAAATACATTCAATTAATGATACAAACCAAAAGCAGAGCTTTTACTTTTTTTTTTCTTTCTTTTTTTTAAGAAGATTGCAATATAAACCCTGCTTTTATGGTAACTGACACCAGAAATTTCATTAAGGTGTATTATAAAATGCTACTAGAATTATGACACATTTTGCTGTAATGTAGTGAAAATATCTCTGCTCACATCAGAAGGAGACTTAAAAGCATGGCTCCAATGTCTTTGTGTTCAGCGTCAGCAGAATGCATTAAAATACGTGACAGAAGAGTGGTCTCAAATTGAATACGAGTTACTACGAGAGCGAGGTTTGTGGGGTCCCCCCATTGGCTCCCATCTTGACAAGTGGATGTTGGAGATGACTGAGGGTCCCTGCAGAATGAGGAAGAAGATGGTGCGAAATGACATGTTTTATACTCAGTATCCCTACATGCCTGAAGCTGAGCAAGAAACAAACTTGCTGGTAAGTAGTCAAGATTTTGTTGTGAGTAGTTTTATGCCCTGTTGTAAAACGCATTATTTTTTATGTTTCTCTTAAGAAACGTGTTTTACTCTGGTGGTATTACATGGTATTCCGTCTGTATGTCCTAAATGGTTGGTAAGGTCCAGTTGTTTTTCATAGTATATTTAGGGAAGGCACTGAATCACTTGGCTCAAAACTAAGTGAACTTGAAGACTGACAATTGCAGCATAAGATGAGGTGTGCTTGTATCAAGCTAAGTGATCATGCCAGTGAACAGCAGCTGCATCTTCACAAGCCTCTAGAGGCTGAGAAGTACCATAACTACAGGAGTTTTCAGTCTGAGTTCTCGGCCTTACACTAGATTTAATGTGGTAAACAGCGATCAAAAAAAAAAAAAAAAACCCAGGTTGTAAGCCTTGGTTTGGGTGAGTTTGTAGAATGTACTTTCATCCATCCATGAATATGAGCATGGGCTGTGTAGCAGAAATGCACGTGGCCTTTGAATGCTTGGGAGTCAGTTCCTGTTAATTTTGGAACGCTGTTTTTAAGAGATGGAGCAGTCTGTCTTATTGAATGCAGGATTTTCTTCCTCAAGTTACACCTGAGTGTCAAAATACTTAAAACAAGCAAACAAAAAATAGCATACCACCAGTTGTAAACCATTAGGTGTACTTGCTTGCAATCTGACCCACAATAGCTGTAGTGACAGTCTAATTCACACAAAGTGGAGAACATGCCATCAGACATTCTTCTCAAAAGTGTTCTTTCTGTGATGCTTATATAATTGATGCCCTGTTTTCAGTCTGACTTCTCAAGTAGACTTCCTGAGACATCTGATGATACCGTTCCTCAAAAGGTAAAGAACAAAGTACACTGACTGAAAGAATGTGAAATAAATACCACCTTTTTTCCTCTTGCATGTTAGGCAATTTTAACAAGGCTTCTACATTTGGCTGTCAACTTGCTCTTTCAGTTAATATTTCCAGGCCTAAAGGATTTTTTCAGTAATCACCTTAGAAGATGTTGCTGTGCTCTCCTCAACCTTCACCTAATAAAACTTTCTGTAGATCTTACCTTCTTGCTGCACACTAACAGGCTGTGTTGGGCTGTGCTATCACTGTTCTCACTGTGTGAAGTGTTGTGGCTTTGGGGTCTGAACTAATGGTCAGTTGGTGGAACATGTTTAGTAATGGGCAACATGATCACCTGGAACCACTTACTGGGAAAGTAAGTGGTTTTCTCTAAGGGAGGGGCTTGTGAGCGGTTTTTCTCCTTTTTGGCCATACTGGGCCGCAACAGGCTTACTGTTGTTAGAGCCCAGGTTAATTTTGTCTTAGCTGAGTCTACTACTAATAAAATACAGACATTTGTTTAAAATATGTGAATCCTGCCTTGAAAATAACAGACCTGTTTGAAAGCAGCTGCTCTGCGAGCATTTCAGTATTATGCTGCTTCTCTACTAAATTTCATTCACAGTCTTGCCCATTACTAAGTACAGCGTGAAATGTGTATTCACTCATTTTTAATTACGTTCAATAATAAACTAATGCACCTAAATGACAGTAATTCTATTATGCAGAATATCTAATACTAATTATTACTGTTTTCCTTTCTTCATGCTAGCAGTGCTAGTTAGGATTTCTCTTTGTAGGCTATACATAAGTTATTTCCACAGAGGTTTTAGGCCTCATTTAAGTGGCATTTTTGTGGTGATAAGGAGTGAAGACTTAGTTGAACATAATTAAATTTAACAAATTAAATCACAGTGCCTTAATTTAGTTTTTTTCTCCATGTTGCTGATTTTAATGTCTTCGTCATCCTGAGCATCCACTTGTAATAAGCTAGTTTGATTTTACAGGTCATTTAGTTTTCCCACTGTACTGTCATACAGATGAACCACGAGTAAAATAAAATAAACACCCCACATTTTATGTATTTCCATTTATTACTGCAAAAGTGAATAAGGGAAAATCTTAACTGAAATGGCAGTGATATTCTACATAATATAAAGCATTGAACAGGATTTATAATAATAATATTTTGTAATTATCACAACCTAATTTAGAATTTCATGGGAAATAATGCTAAAAAATTATTTGTGGTAGAGAACTGAACACATTCACAACGCTGTCTAGAGTTTGGGGTTAAACAATAGTCAGAGAAAAAAGTTCTCAATTACAGTGTAAAACCAATGGGTTTTCTCCATCCATGTGCATCATCAGTGTGTCGTAATTTCAGAAAGCCTCTTGGCTTCTTAGTACCTTTGCCTCTATTTCCTGTGATCATTCAGGCATATTAATTGTCCTTATTTAGTTCTTCTGTTCCAAATGTTGCCTCCATAATAAAGTGAGGAACATCAGAATTAGCCTGTGGTGGGGGCCAGGATGGACAAAGGGGGGGGGGAAATCCACACACAAAAAAAAGGCAAACAAAAAAACCCCACACTAAACCACCACCATAATGAAATATATCATAATATGTTGTCATCGCTCAAGGGCACAAACAGTGCTTGAAGAATTACCTTGGTTAAATGGATGCTCTTGTGCCGGTCTTCTACCTACAAATGATCAGAATCTTTACTAAAAAAAGAAACAACTGAATTAATTAAGAATTTCTAAACCTTAAAGCTGCTTTTAGGTCATATCAACTTGCACATATCTGTATCTTTCCTTGAGGCAAGTTTTTATTCAAACTCTTGCCTGGCAAAGAAGTCAGCTGGTTAACAAATGAGGTGCGTACGTTGTAGGGAGGTATGAAAGATGATAACACGGCCATCTGATCTGTCAGTCTTAAACACAGGTATCCCAGCCTTTTGTGACAGTTCTTATTTCCCATGTTGTAGGTTTATCTGCAAGCATTTCTGCAACCCCATTATTAGCTGAGTGGCTGAATAGCTCCCTTGCAAATTAGCTGACAGATCACCTCTACCGAAGAGTCTCTGTTTCTGTATGTGTTGGTGTATGACTGAGCACGCACAAAACACTTGATGGGCATGCACTGTGCTGCACACAGTATGCCTGCAACACATTCACAAAAGTGAGTGAGGAGTTGACTGACCAAGCAATCTCTTCAATTATTTCTAAGAAACCTGCTCGTTACCGAAGAGCTATAAGTTACGACAGTAAGGAGTACTACATGCGCCTGGCTTCTGGAAACCCTGCAGTCTTTCAGGATGCTATAGAAGAGAATACAGTGGGTGAAACAACTCAGCAGGAGCCAGAACATGGGGAGGACACTATTGCAAGAGTCAAAGGTTAGATCATTTGCTCTGTCCTGAACTGTGTTCTTTAAATTTATCTGCCTTTATGTCTTCTCATGCATTTGCATTCAGACTGGCATAAGGATCCCATAGGATTCTTGTTTTTCTGTCTTAGCATTGGATCAGTAATTTCAAAGTGCAATAGGTTTTGCAAAGTGAGTTTTTTATGTGTCAGGTTTTTATTTATCTCTCTCTGTTCTTCTTTTCCAGGCCTGGTGAAGCCTCCCCTGAAACGGTCTCGCTCTGCTCCTGACGGAGGAGATGATGAGAACCAGGACCAATCACAGGATCAAATTGTTGAGGGGAGTTCAATTGATGAAGAGGAGAAGACTGACAATACGACTTTGCTTCGACTTCTGGAAGAAGGAGAGAAGGTACTGTGTACTTGAAACACTCTAAACACTTACTGTATTGGAATTTCTGCATTACGTCACAAGCGTGAATAAATGTCCTAAATATCTTCCCTGACCCACAGCTGAATTTGCTTAATATTTCATCAATTGCTTCCTTGAAACCACATGTGTAGTCTGGTTCAAAGAGATCCTGAGCTGAAACTCCCATACAAGAAAGCTTCTTTTTCTTTCCTTATGCCTGCTAGGGGAAAGAAAAGACCCTGACCTGAAATAAAAGCTGTGTGCTATCCCATGCTTGCATTATTATCCTGTCGGTTAATGAGCCCAGACAGAAAATACATGTTGAAAATATAATTACTGATCTTGACAGGCTGTCTGTAATTCATTGTTCCCTTCATTAAAATGAAAAACCTTGATAAGTAGGATTTTATCCCCAAGAACAGTGTTGAACGACCGTGCTGCGTATTTGGTATTTCGGACTTTGTCCATCTGAAATATACCAGTAAATACATTTGTGATCATAGTCATGTGGGCTACAGGTTCCAAAACATGCTCAAGAAGCATTGTGCCAGTGGATAACTTGGTAAATTTCTATATCCTACAGAGGAGGCTTTATTTAACTCCCTTCCTGATTTTTAATTGCAGTCATTAAATATATCTCTGATTACGGGGGAAAATAGCAGAGTTTTTGCTGTATCTACAAGTCACAAAACAGTGTCTGGGGCTTGTTCTAATGAAACAACAGTCTGAGCCTGAGCTTGTTAACCTGCTTTTGCTAAGCGCCTGCTTTTTGTTACAGATTCAGCATATGTACCGCTGTGCTCGGGTTCAGGGCCTTGACACCAGCGAAGGGCTGCTTCTCTTTGGGAAAGAGCACTTCTATGTCATTGACGGATTTACAATGACAGTCACCAGAGAAATACGGGACATTGAGACACTGCCTCCAAAGTGAGTACATTAATGGAAAGTTTCCTCAATCTGTAATAACTGAACGAGAAGTATTTAATGAGAGAAGTCAGCTCCAAAATAATGTCAGGTTTGGAAAAACCTCAGGAGCAGTTTTCTCTGTGCTCACAAATTGCTCAGTGTAGTATGGTATATTGTGAAAATCAGCTGTTCCTATAACTCGACTCTCATGTGAAGTAAGAGAATAATTCTTTTAGTTTTTCTTCTTCTGATCACTTCTCTCTGGCCTGTTTGTGCTCAATTACAGGATGCATGAGCCAATCATACCTAGGGGAGCAAGGCAAGGTCCAAGTCAACTCAAAAGAACATGCAGCATTTTTGCATATGAAGATATCAAGGAAGTACATAAAAGGAGATACCTTTTGCAGGTAACTTGGAAACTGTTTTTGCATTGAATTTTTTGTCATTTTGGCATATGCATAGAATTTTTGGACAATTGTCATTTTTAAAAAATAAAAGAAACACATGACTGATCAGTTTCACCACAGTGATAGAGCTTTACTTTCCAAATACTGAAGTGCTTAGTTTGGGCATACTTGTTTGAACATTTGACTTGCCATGTTTAAGTTTATTTGGATTTATTAGTGAATTTTAGTATTCTGAAAATAAAACATCTGTCTGCACCAAGCATAGTTTCTTCACCATAATTTGGTGTCAGATGTAGCACAGTGTGACTAAACTGGTCTGTGCCTGACCTTCAGAGATGACGAGCAAAGCGTTGTTGTTGACGTGGGTTTGTCCTCTTTGTTTTCAGCCAATTGCAATTGAAGTTTTCTCAGGAGACGGACGGAACTATCTTCTAGCTTTCCAAAAAGGGGTTAGAAACAAAGTTTATCAAAGGTATTGTAAAATAAGTTAGTACGTTTAATCTGAATATTTGCAACTCTGTGGTGAACCATGTTTGAGCCTACAGTGACCTAACAGCCAGATGCAGATTGCAGGAGTGGTGGGTGTTAGGCGGCGGATAACTTGGTAGCAACTTAGCGCTGCACAGAACAACCACTAGGAGCACTAATGCCTGCCTATGAAACATACAGTGTGCGTTCTGTGAGAAAAGGGTCATCCCACTTTTCTTGAAAATGTTATGTAACTGCTTAAAACAAAGTCTGTATCTGTATTAAATGCTCTCTGTTTCTAAGGAAAAGACATACCAAGCACTGAAGGACTAATCCTAATCTCCATTTAACTGTTGATGCAGGTTTTTGGCTGTGGTGCCATCTCTAACTGACAGTTCGGAGTCAGTGTCTGGGCAAAGACCAAACACCAGTGTAGAGCAAGGGTAGGTGATTCTCTTCCTCACGAGCTCATCAGTTTCAAATAAAGGATTGAGGTCAGGATCCACTGGAGAGTACTGCAACCTCAATTTAAAATCGCTTATTACTAAAATAAGTAACTAGTGATGTTGTGCTCCAGTTATTTTAAATGTACTAATATCATTGGCAACATTGGTATATCTTCTTGCTAATTAGTATATCCTGCTATCAGGATTAACGTTACCTGTATACAGATACCTTCTGAAAGGAATTGGAGTGCCAAAGCCATTAGACATTTTCCTCTTTGGCAGCTTGTTAGATACATTTGTACTTGGCACTGAATTGCATAATTAATATGTGTAATTTTAGGTCTGGGTTTAGAAATAAAAAAAGGCACTGCTAAAGCAAAAAAGAACAAAGCTCCATTTTTCTAATCATGACAATTTACAAGTTTCGATTTTAAAACTTTGGATTGTCTATGAAGATGTAACCCAGATCTCACTGCTGAGTCAGAAAATACGCTCCTTCTTCCCATTAGGTCTGGCCTGCTTAGCACTTTAGTGGGAGAAAAATCTGTTACTCAAAGATGGGAAGTAAGTATGAAAAGGGTTTGGTTTGGTTTTTAATGCCTCATTTTATAGTGATATGTAATTCATGAGTGCAGATAAATTGCATCCTCTTATTCAAACTGTAGTGGAATATACTAGTACAGAAAGCGTATGTCAGCATTTTAGCTTGTAGTATTTCATGATATCATCAAATGGGAAATGCTTCTACAGTTGAAAATGCAAGGGGAGGGACTGTAGTGAAAGTAGAGTGAGCCTTATATTGAAGTAAGTTTCATGTGTTTGGGGAGGGCTGAGTACGTTGACAGCCTAGCAGCGTAGATATTTGATTGTTGTAAAGTGAACACTTTACAGTGCTGTTATCTGTCTTCCTTAAGAGAGGAGAGATCAGTAACTTCCAGTACCTGATGCACTTAAACACTCTGGCGGGCAGATCCTATAATGATCTCATGCAGTACCCTGTCTTTCCTTGGATCCTCGCAGACTATGATTCAGAGGTAAATAAAACATCTTGTCAGCCTTGTCGGTAATCTTTTATGTGTTGGAGGCTTTGCAAATAGTACAGCTGGCTCATACTGCATTGGTAAAAGCGAGGCTTATCTTTATCAGCAGTTGTTCGATTTCATCCATTTTGTGATGTTCCTCCCGCTTGTCAGTGGGTAGGTAGGATATTAGAGATTCCTGGCTGTCCCATGCAGGCCTGTGCTGATTTTACAGCTGTTACTGGACTGTGCACAGGTGAGGGCTGGGACACATAGCTTGTTCTAAGGCCTCTCTGTCGCAGCAGTTCCTTTAGGCCTTTGCGTTAGCTTTCTGCTGAATATCCCGAAGGACGTTACGCACACAGAGAAAGCACGCTTGTCTAGAAAACGGTGCTAGGGGCTACTGTGCAATCTGGCCCCACGGTGAAATACTTGCTTTTGAAAAAGATGAAACATCCTTTTAATGCCATTGTTACCAGCCAGGCCATAACATAAAGTGTTGAGGTGTATGTCGAGTATTCAAGAACAGAATTAGGGGGAATTGGGGAATGGGATGAAGGGAACAGAGCGATGTGAATTAACGTAAAAAACACTGACTGTCTTAGATCAAACTGTTTTAAGCATATCCAACATTGCATGTGCTGTGTGTGTAGGAAACAAAGATGACTGCCTGAGGAGGTATGTGGTGTTAAATATGGTAATCAGCAGTGTTGAAAGCGTTTGTTCAGGTTTGAGGGTTTTTTATAAATTGGTGTCTGCTTTATTTTTAAAGGAACTGGATCTTATGAATCCCAAGACATTCAGAAACCTGGCCAAGCCCATGGGAGCTCAAACAGAAGACAGGTTAGCCCAGTACAAGAAGCGATACAAAGATTGGGAAGATCCCAATGGTAAGTAATGACACCTCTAGCAGGAAGAGCAGAGGGACATGTGCCTGTCACATGATGGGAGGGAGTCATGGATTTTTATATTATGAGTCGAGAGGGCTGGATGTAATATGCAGAGCTCTACCATGTGTTTTAGTGACTCTCCAACAAATACTAAATTAGAGCAAAGGGGCGTTGGCTTTCTCGCTGGGTTGTTTGTTTTAAATCCGAATGACAGCTTTTGTTTATATGTTGAAATAAAGACAAAACAGTTGGACATTCAGAACAGTTTAATATTGTCTAAAGGCTATAATGGGCAGGCACATGAAGCACATAACCAGCTGTCTCTACTAATACAGTTTGAATGCTGCTGCAAAACCAGTAAATTGTACAAAGGAATGGGACGACATCTGCATTAGCAGTACTCCAGCTTTTTAATTTCTTATCCTAATGGAGTTTTTTTTTTTGCCAAGGTAGCAACATTTTCTTAGCTAAAAAAAAACCCCACAGAATGAGCAAGTTACGTATTCTTGATTTTAGAGCTTCCTTGTGTATTGGAAATAAAAACTGTGTGTTTGGCAAGGCAGCTATTAGATGTTATGTTTCTTCTTGTGTGCTTTAGTTGAAGACACAAGCCTGTTTAACTATTGCAGTGCTGTTCTGTACCAACAGCAGCAGGTGGCAAGACATCATTTCTGGGAATGAATCAGTATGTTCTATGTGTATTTATGCAGACCTTTTTGCCAGGAACTTAAAGTAAAAGCTGTACAAAATCTGTAGTCAACAATTCTGAGACCTATTTCTACCCAGGGCTTTAATTAAAAAACAAAACAAACAAACAAAAAAAAAAACCCCAAACACAACCAAAAAACAACCACCCCCAAACTTTAGCAGAAACGACCATATCTGCACTGCAGCATTTCCATTAGTTAAAGTAAAAAATGACTAACCATACAGTATTGCTCTGCAGAAGCCCATTAAAGTAGAGCTACTGGACCGCAGCCACAACTCAAGTGATGGCCATGACAAAACATAAAGCTTTCAGATTCTTGAGAATGAAAATCACGAATTCCAATTTTGAATGTGTCCAAGGTCACAGAGTAATTAAAATGCAGCACTTAATAATTTTTTTTTTCTTTTAATTTAGTACTAATTCTATCACCTAACTGTTTTTATTTGTTCTATGTTCATGATTTTTAATCTTCTTCAGGGGAAACTCCAGCTTACCACTATGGGACTCACTATTCATCAGCCATGATAGTGGCTTCCTATCTTGTCCGGATGGAGCCTTTTACTCAGATTTTCTTACGGTTACAGGTAACAGTTACATCACCTCACGCTGTGTTTGTTTCCTGCTGTACCTTTGAGACCTAAATGAAAACTTTGATCAATCAACTTTGTTTTCATTAAATATGGTAGAAGTAATGTTTTTAGCAGAGTAGTTGTTGCCCGAGAGTTTTTTTGATGTTTCTTTGTAAGAGGTGAAATGGAATTCACAGGGTTTTTTCTTGTAGTTTCAACATTTTTCTAAATGTGTGCAGAACAAAATATCAGCAGACTAAAACCAAAGCAAATTTTATTGTGAAAAACACTTTGCTCATCATGCTTTATTTGTCTGTTATTGAAAGAATCATATGCCAGTTGTTTAGCTCTGTGCTGGAGGTGTTGAAAGATTGTTATTTTAAACAAGTATGTCTATCCAAAGAGCCAGATTAGTACTGAGTGTTAAAATAACAAATGTTTGCAGAGCTTGGAACTGTTTGCAAGTTTGATGGGTAATGAGGTTTGTAACACTACATGTCAAATATTTTCCTAGGCAGAAGCTATCAGGCAAAAAAAAAAAGTGTTTCTCTGGAAGAGACTGAACTTCAAAGTAGGACTAGATTACACTTGTCTTAAAATTCTGTATGTCTGTATCTCGGTGCTTTTTGTTTACTATTATTGTGTACTAAAAAGTAAGGCAGCTGTTTAAATCCATTGTGTTAGAGGAAGAAACATGCTGTGTTCTATAGGGTCTTTATTAGGCAGAGGATGTTGTCATTTGCCTTCTCAGCCAAATCTGCTGTGCTGAGAGAACTCTGATGCTGACATGCTTCTCACTCTGTCCCACAGGGTGGTCACTTCGACCTGGCTGACCGAATGTTTCACAGTGTACGGGAGGCTTGGTATTCAGCATCGAAGCACAACATGGCAGACGTGAAGGAGCTCATCCCAGAGTTCTTCTACCTCCCCGAGTTCCTGCTCAATTCCAACAATTTTGACCTCGGTAGGCAGAAAGAGCTTGATAGCAAGGCTGTGGGTGCGAGAGCAGTGCCAGACAGTCTGACATGAGAGGTGTCTCATGATATGGGCAGTAACTTGCTACTTCACAATAGTGTTCACTGTCTTTTTTGCACGTTTTCTTAAGCTTTGCAAAATCTGTTTGACAGTCTTCACTTTTAGAACTTCCACTTAAGGTATTCCTAAAGGTTTTGTTGAAATGTCGCAGTTGGCTTTTGTGAGAGTGGTTATTCAACAGGAACCAAATTTCACACCTGTTGACCATGAGAGAGACATGTTCCTTAAGATGTGTCACTCTCAATGGTGGCATCAAGCTCCTTATTTGCTGAGCTCTGAGCAGTGATTGCAGAAGGCTATTTTACATGCTGTTGTTTTCATTAACTTCCATGGACTGCAGTGGGTCTTTCCCATGAGGAGGAGAGAGAAGCAAAAATTTGCTTAAATAGAAAAATAAAGGCAAAATAATCATGTTCCAAGAACACTTGCTGGGGAAGCATAAAGGTTTTGAGTTCAGACTGTGCATTATGAAGTTGTGAACACAGAGGAGGAGTAATCTAATCGACGCCCCTAGGCAGAAGGGTATTGTTTGTTTTGAAGAACATATGCTGAAACACATTCATCTTCAGAAGTCTTGGCAAGGAATATTTGAATTCTTCCTCCTGCAAGCAATCTTACGTGAACAAGCAAGGTGGAATTTTTCATGTTTTATTCCCTGACATTTAAAAACCACACCGTATTTTAAAGAAAAGACTGAAATGTCTTGCTTTATAAAGGAAAAGGTTTAGAATTTAGTTCTTTAATGCTTTTGTTTTCAGTGTTGCTGTTGCAGTGCAGTTTCTGTTCCAAATTTTTCTTTTTTTTTTTTTTCCTAACAGGTTGCAAACAAAATGGCACTAAACTTGGTGATGTAATACTCCCCCCATGGGCTAAAGGAGATCCTCGTGAATTTATCAGAGTTCATCGTGAGGTAATTTACATTTTAATAATGACAGTAGAAAACATGAGTTGGGACTTTCCCTTGCATACTAACCTATGCTCGCTTCATGCGGTCACTAGTCTGGTAGTTCTGGGTTGATGGCTAATTGTTGCAGAAGTCTGTAGAACTGGTGTTTCTTCCCCTTCCTTTTTGGCCAGGGAGTACATTGAGGCAAGAATTGCCTCAATGAAAAGCCTTATGAAAACATAATAAGAATATGCCAATATATGTTCTACATTTTTCTTTGTGGCAGGTGTAGCAGCTGCAACCAACAACTGATGCAGCTCGTTTTAATGCATGCCCTTTGAATTTCAGGCTCTGGAATGTGACTTTGTGAGTGCCCATCTGCATGAGTGGATTGACTTGATCTTTGGCTATAAACAGCAAGGTCCTGCTGCAGTAGAAGCTGTCAATGTCTTTCACCATCTCTTCTATGAGGGGCAAGTGGACATATACAACATCAACGATCCATTAAAAGAGACAGCAACCATAGGATTCATTAATAACTTTGGACAGATACCAAAGCAGGTATACCCTTCAAAGAATTCTTATTTGCCAGATGACACTTGAACTGAAATGTATTAATATAGAATGGGCACGTGTTTTAGGAGTGTTTTTCCATAAATATTCTTCCAGTTATGTGAAATCATTTCCATTTCCATCATAAGTGCAACGAAAATTGACTTTGGGCTTTGCTTGTGAGACTAGAAACAGCCTTGTTTGTTTGTTTGTTTGTTTTTCTCTTTGCATCCTTAAAGGTTGCATCCATCAGCTGCAAAGTCAGAGGGGAGCAATGCAACTTAGAAGTAATGCCTACTATTTAGGCATTTTAAATTATCCTGTAATAAAATAATTTCTATAATAAGTTATGCTTCCCTTTTTTTTTTTTTTACACTATCTTCCTGGCATTCTCCAGGACTTGGCCACACCTTTTATTTGAAGAATCTGTTGAAAATAATCTCAAAATTGAAATTTAGATGACTCTTGTAGGCCAGCTATGGTAAAGGAACAATACAGACACATTTTTGGTGTAGCTTTAAAGTTTGTGTTTTCTTTAAGAGATTACTTTGTTATTAAATGTAATATTAAATCTGAAGTTTTTACTGTGTGAGGTTTTCAGTGTTTGGGAGGGTTGGTCTTTCTTTTTCCTTTTTTTTTTTTTAATTAGACATTTCATTAGGTTTGGGTTTTTGGTGGTTTTGTGATTTCCTCA